CAAGCCAAAACTTAAAATAAATAAATTCTTTAAACACAAAACTCATTTCCAAAATTAAGAAATACATCAATAAAATAAAAAAAAATATTACTCTAAATAAAAAAAAAGTTAAAACAAGTGTTCAAAAAGACCACTTTCTTGTGCTAGACAGAAGCCTAGGCGGTCGTAAAATTGGCGTCTGACATTGGCTAACATATTAGGCTAATAGTTTGGAAAGCCTCTCGTATTTTTACTTAAAGCTCATCCAGATTATTAGCCCTATTATGACCATACACTTTGGATTTTACATAACCCCACAAAAAGAAATCATTAGAAGAAAGATATGGTGATCTAGCGGGCCACAAAATTCTTCCATGTCCACTAATTAAACGGTTGGGAAAAGTATTGTTCAAATATTCTTGAACAATACGGGCATTGTGAGCAGGGCAACCATCTTGTTGAAACCAGACATTATGGAATCTTTCTCCCAATAACTCATGAATTCTAGGGACAATCTGCTGCTGTAACAAGTCCAAATACTTTGCAATAGTTAAATTCACCCTACAAAATCACCCCAAACGTTTAGCTTTTGAGGATATTGCGTGCAGCTACCTCAAAATATCTGTGCAAATTTTCCCGAGACCAATATCATACTTGTGCAGAGTTATGACGCCTTAATAAAGGAAAACTTGATTTGTCGGTGAAAACTATACACCGAATAAAGTTTTCATCTAAATTTGCCTTTTCCATTACAGATTCACAAAACGCCATACGCCGAAATTGGTCTTCATGAAAAATTTCTTGAGTTTTGCGCGCTTTATATGATCGGTATTCATTTTTTAAGGACTCTTTTAACCGTGCTAGGTGAAGAATCTGTTACCTCAGCAATTTAATGACTTGAAAACGTGGGATTTTGATCTGCAGTAGCACAAATGAACACTTGCTTTAACTCCTGTTCTTCATTAATCAACACATCAGGCATTTTTATTTCAAAATTATTAATAACTCTTGATATAGTAGGTAAAGATGGAATTGGCCTGTTTACAAAAATTTGTGGAAAAATTGTCTGTATATCCCGATAAGACCTATTTTGGAAATACCATTTTAGAATTCGAAGTTTCTCACGAACTTGGTAAGCAACCATTATTTTACTTAAAAAATAAATTTTACACGAGAGCTGTCGCGAGAATCTATGTATTCGTTTTGGCTATTAAAACACGAATAAATACAAATTCTGAAACATTATTATCACATATCTACCTATTTTTATTTTATCGCATTTTTTCGCCCGCTTTTTATCCGGCGGACGCTAATTCGTCCGAGTTCTGCCTATGTTACTACTACGGTCGGTGGTCCGGTCTGTATATACTTTAATAATATTGCTTTTATTTAAATAAATATTATATTGAAAATCTACATGTGGTTAGATTCGATTTGTATGTCAGATTCCGCGTTTAGAACACACAATATGATGAATTCATGCATGAAAACAAGAAGGAGAAAAAAATGCAGACCAGTGAATTATCCCAATTTCTAGTGAAAAATAAATACTGGTATTAATAGCTTCTCTAAAAAATAAGTAAAGGCGTTATAGAAATATTATCTTTGCACTTATTCAGATAAAAAACTAATTATTATTATCGTAATATTATTCTGTCCTAACCGATAAAATTACAAGATATATTATCTTTTATGAGTTGTGTAGGAGCAGTTTAGTATTTTTTATTACCAATCAATCCAATTTCATATTTATATTATACGCTTCATAAACAGAAAGTATGCGACATAAAGGTCAATACAGGACGACAAAAAGGTCAACATGCGACCCCGAAATAATATTTATAAGGGAACATTCCAATTTAATGATTGGTTCTTTCACTTATATTACTAATATACAGGGTATCAAAAAACAGTGTATTTAACTTTGGTGGCTGATTCTACTCATAAAAATAAGACAAAAAGTTCCTATGAACATATGCCCTGAAATGTTTCCCGATAAAGTTACAGCCCTTCAAATGGTAAATAAAACTAATAAGTACGTCCGGCAATAATAGTGCGTCGGGCATCTGTAGCTCCTAGACTAAAAAACTTGGGAATTTTGTTTAAGTGCAAACCGTATGTATTTCAGGAAAATATTTTAACTTCTATAAGATGGCTTAAAAAAGTGTGAGTGGATGGGGATGATTTTTTTTTAAATGGAACACCCTGTATATTATTGCATTTTTGGCTTCCTTTCAGATCACTTTACATAAACATAAGACATGAGTAAATATATTTCGATAATTGCAGAGCAATAAAATAAAAATATTATATATTTTTAAGCCTTTCTTAAAAAATTATTAATAATACAAGAACTGTCCTGAAATCAAAACTGTATTAGATATTTACTTTAGATAGTCTGTACTTACTTTGCTATAAATATGGAAATCGTAAATCATACAGGATGTTCAAAATTCTGCGCCAAACTTTCTAAAATATACAATAATTTTTCTTTGTTTTTTTTTTTAAATGGGCACCCTCCATATTATTTTTTCAATTAATGGAGAATTAAAAATTACCATTTTATGCATTTAGAGTATTTCAAAATTTTTAACGGTTTCGCAGATATTCTCGGTTTGATATTTCATATGGCATTTTTCACAGTAAATTTGTATCAAAGCCACCCAATGATTTTTCTCTCGTATTTTACCATTGAAAGCGCCATATGAAATAATACTGCGTGTATCCGGAAAACTATTAAAAATTTTGAAATATGTACTTTAAATACAGAAAATGTTCATTTCTTAATCCTTCATCAAATAAAAAAATATATATACAGGGTGTTCCATTTAAAAAAAAACGAAGTAAAATTATTTTATATTTTTGAAAATTTGGCGTAAAATATTAAACATCCTGTATGATTTACGATTACCATATTTATAGCAAACTAAGAACAGACCATCTAAAGTAAATATCTAATATAGTTTTAATTTCAGAACAGTTCTTGTATTTTTAATATTTTTTTTTCAGAAGGGTTGAAAAATATATATTTTTGATTTATTCTTTAATATTTCTGAAACTATTGAAATAGATTCACTCATATCTTAGGATTATGTAAAGTGATCTGAAAGGAAGCAAAAAATGCAATAATATACAGGGTGTTTCATTTAAAAAAAGGTCATCCAGATCCACTCACACTTTTTTGAGCCACCATATAGAAGTTAAAATATTTTCCGGAAATACATCCTGGTACATACTTTAGGTTTGCATTTAAACAAAATTCTCAAGCTTTTTATTCTAGGAGCTACAGATGCCCGACGCACTATTGCCGGACCCTGTATATTTTGTTTATTTTTAAGAATATTGATAAACCGTCTTTTTTGAAATTTGTTACACTTACACACATTTTAATGCCGAAGCGAATGGCGATAGTGTAAAATTCCGTAACAGCCCTGAAAGGGTACTTTCCATTACGGTAGAAGGTACTACTGGTGGTACTTCTTTTATCCTTATAGATACATTATTTCCGAAGTCAATTGGAAGTACTGAGACTCTTAATTCCTTTGTCCTGATGATGCCGCCAAAAACACTACCGAAATTAAGTCCGAAATTACCGAAATAAAAGTTTCATAACATACCTAAAAATTATTTATGACAGTGGGTAGCTGGACGGTGAACGATTAATTATACGTGGAACACTATATCTGCCAAATAGCCAACCCTACTTCTCTGGCAGCACACAATTCTTTTGTTAAAAGTTTCCATTACTGCTGAACACATTTTTTAAATTATGTTACGAATTATTCGCCTAATTTCTTCTTTCAATTGTTGAATGGTCTGCGGATTGTTTTCGTAAGCTTTGTTTTTCACATAGCCCTACAAAAATCATTGGGTATCATTGGGCCGTATTTTCTTTGAAGATGAAGACGAACAAGGTGTTACAGTAAAGGGGGGAGAACGATAACGAACGATGATTCATGTTTTATATGGGATCAAATAATTAACATGAGTATAGATAATATTTTATTTTTTTAGGTTCCAACAAGATAGTGCGACATTTTTCAGACAGTAGTTTGCGTATACAGTTTGGAAAGAGGCTTATGGGGACGTAAATTGGCTACCAAGGCCATGACTTTACGCCTCTAGGTTATTTCTTGTGAAGATTATTTCGAGGTTATTTCTTTTTGAAAACAATTCGCAAACCATTCAACAGTTGAAAGAAGAGATTAGGCAAATAACTCGTGGCAGAAATGCGTTCCAGAAATGTGTTCAGCAGTAATGGAATTGTGTTGCCAGAGAAGTCGTGATGGCCATTTGGCAGATATTCTGTTCCACGTATAATGATTGTACACTGCCCAGCTGCGCACGGGCATAAATAATAACCTTTAGACCTTTAGGTATGTTATGAAACTTTTATTTTATTTGTTATCAACATCCGAAACTTCTTATTGGAATACCCTTCTATTAAATAGTACCTAAAATGTTATTTTTGTTAAAATCTAATGCTTTATGCTTTATATGTTTTTACTGTACTCTGAACATGTTTCATTATATGTTCATACAACGCGTTTTGTTACATGTTCAATTAAAAGTACTATTAGATGTACTTTATAACATAGGATTGCTAATTATTTTATTGAACATTTAAAATTTAAAAAAGTATTTTGTGATTCTTTTTTGTAATAATACATTTTATTTGATAAAGATTGCTTTTATAGTTTTTTTTTTGTTGGTGCTTGCAAAGAAAAAAACCGGTAATAGCATGCTTTAAATTACCGTAAAAGTCGGTAAATTTGCAATCCCTGTTTCACGTGCTGTAACTTATTGACTTTTGTCTAATTTAACGTTTATTTTTACGCTTCGTAGGACATGAAACTGCGAAACGTTTAATATGAGAAACGGGTCCGCTCACGTATATCAGGGCAACCACAATAGAATATCGCTGCCTTTTATCGCGGCCCTTAATAGATTTTCGTACTTTTAAACACAATGTAGTGTCATAACGGTTTCTGAATAGTATATTGTAACGTTCTGGTTTGCAGGTCTGGATCCTGCGGGCCCTTTATTTAATAAATGGCCCAAGAGCCTGAAGCTGGACGCGAGCGATGCCGAATTTGTAGACATTATTCATTCTGACGCCGGCATTTTCGGATATCCTCGTCAAATTGGCCATGCAGACTTTTGGCCCAACAGGGGCATCTCTCCGCAGCCCGGATGCAACTTTAAAGAGATTAAGAAAAGGAACCCGGATGCCATAGTCGAGCTACGTGAGTATGAATTAGTTTAATATTCTTCATATTTAGTGGTTAATTTTGATGGTGTAGTGAGGCGGTAGTTGCGGTTGAGTAGGTGAAGCTAAATTTTACCTTAAATATTATAGCACTTAGGAAAAATCTTAATTCATACTTTTAATAATAATATAATCAATTCACTTTATATGACAAACTTAGAACGTTACTCATAGTCATTCCGCTACCTCAGTTTTTTTCAGTCGAGAATTTTTGAGTTAAGCTGGAATCCAGTTCAACAAAAATCTGGGGCTAATTTTTGATAACGGTGGGCCAGCATAATGCCAGCATTGTTGAATTTTCGCGTACTACGAGCATGACATAAGTAGAAAATAGAAAATATTTTTTAAAACAATCTTCTCTAATACCACATGCTTATGGTTCACATTTACAAATGACCACGAGTTGCCACTGATCTACATGAATTTTGAATAGTAGAACAGCAATAATAGAAGTAGGTAATAAATGAGAATATTTAAAGTTGCCTAAATTTATCAAAGAAAATGTTAGATTATTAGACAGCCTCTGCTATATTTTTGTTGTCTAGTTGTATCTTCTTGCAGTATATTCTTCTATACTATATATATTTAGGGATTTGTATAATATCAGCGTACCTGAGCCCAAACATAACTTTTGACAGCTTCTGCGAATTAATGCTTGAACTGCCAGAGGCCACATTAGAGCTGAAACAGAAACATCCTCGTACAAAATTACTGATCACTGGAGACTTTAACGCCAAAACATGAAGTTTGGGGAGGAAATCGCACTGAAAGAAGAGGCAGGGAAGTACTGGAATGGTGCGAGCTCAATAACCTAACCGTACTAAATGACGGAATTTACCCAACCTTGGTCAGAACATCTGGCACATCGTATATTGATCTGTCAATAGTATGCGATGGATTACTGCAGATGAAACCCATATGGCAAGTCCTTGAAGATCCGGATGTAACAGAGCACAAGTTTATTTTTACCGAAATACCATCAGATAACTCGCAAGGAAAAAAATTCAGATATAAATACGGAGAAATTAATAAGGTTAAGCTTAGTGAAGCATTCAAATATAGCATACCGGGCAAGTCACCAACTATGTCAGCTTAGAAAATGGCAAAAATAATTCGCGCAGCATACCATAAAAGTACTCCGACTGTCCGTTGTGATGAAGACTTCCTGATGCCGTACTGGTGGAACGAAGATATCCAAACAAACATTTTAGAAGTAAAAAAAAAGAGAAGAAAGTTTCAACGAGAAACAAGAAACGATGATCTTCGCGAGCTCTATAAACGTACCTACAAAGAAGCAAAGCAGGATCTGTCTCAAAAGATCAGAATTGTAAAAATAAGTTCATGGGGAAAACTGTGCGATGACTTACAAGAAAATATTTACGGTCAAGCATATAAGATAATAAGATCCCAGCTGAAAAAAATGCCACCCAGAGTTTAAATGGACCCAGAAGAAAAAATCAAACAGTTTAAGGCTCTATTTGTATATGAGAGACAAACCTGGACTCAACCAAATAATATACAATTAACAAATCTCCGGGCTGTGATAATTTGCCACCAAATGTGATAAAAACGCTAATATTGGACAATGTAGAATATTTTAGAACATTTTTCAATAACTTTCTTCAGAGAAATGAATTCCCTAAAGAATGGAAGAGATCCAAATTAACCCTAATAGAGAAACCCCGGAAGCACCTAAATGATCCACCAAAATATCGTCCGATTTGCCTCATTGATGTAATCGGGAAAGTCTATGAGAAACTCATCAATACGCGACTCTTGGAAGAAATTAGGAAGAAACGAAATGGTATGCATCCAAACCAGTATGGATTTGTAAAGGGGAAATCTACCACACATGCAATGAAGAAAATATCGGATATCGTGAAAAGAAAAGCCACTTGGCATAATGCTTTGATTTTAGTCGACGTTAAAAATGCATTTAATTGCGCGTCATGGGAAATAATTATTAAAGATCTTAGAAGATGGGGCATAAGTGGCTATTTGGTGAACATAATAAGAAGCTATCTTGATAATAGATTTATAGTTCTCAATAGAGAAGATGAAAGAGAGGTATTCGGTGGCATCCCACAGGGCTCGGTGCTGAGGCCAACTCTGTGGAACATATTATACGACAGTGTCATGGAGCTTACTGTACCAGGTGGGACAGAGTTGATCTGTTACGCCGATGATCTTGCTGTGATAATAACAAAATAAACGACCTCGACCTAATGCAGACTGTGGATGACACACTAAAGATCATAGCCAGATGGATGCGTGAGCACAGACTGGAAATAGCTGTGGAAAAAGCAGAGGCGATTTTACTGAGCCGCAAGAGAAAAGTTGACCATATAAGGTTTAATTTTAAGGATATAATAATAAATCCAGTAAAGCAAGTCAACTATCTTGGATTCCACATAGACCGTGCACTCACGATGGGCCTGCACATCAAGGAGGTGTGTCTGAAATCACAACGAACTGCTAAATCGTTGTCCGCAATATTGCCAAACGTTCGGGGCCCAACACCAGCAAAGAGAAGAGTGTTAGCATATGCGTGCCAGAATATTATTATGTATGGAGCACCTGTGTGGAACGAAGCAACCAATATGCACGTAAATAAAAAAAGACTTGAAGGTGCACAGAGAGTCATGGCTTTGAGGGTCTGCTCGGCGTATCGGACTACTTCAACTGAGGCAGCCTTGGTGATATCGGGTCTGGTGCCCTTTCTTCTTCTCTCAAGAGAAAGAGAACGACTCTTTCTCAATGGTGAAGTACAAACCAGGGCAAGCAGAGAGATGGAGAGAAACCGCACAGTGCAGTAGTGGCAGGCAGAATGGGAAGTATCACAAAAAGGAAGATGGACATATAAGCTCATTCCAAATATAAATATGTGGATTAAAAGAAAGCATGGAGAGGCAAACTTCTATATTACTCAAATATTGAGTGGCCACGGAAATTTTGGGAGTTACCTGTGTAAAATTGGAAAGAGGGAAGTCGCGGAATGCCTATACTGTGCTGAACCCAATGATACTCCAGAACACACAATGTTTGCTTGTCCAAGATGGGAACAGGAAAGATGTGAGGTACGCATGACGATTGGTGGCAACATCTCCGCAGATACCTTCTTAAAATCGGTAACAGAATGAAGAGAAAACTTTGAAGCCATCTCAAAACTGGCCCAAAATATACTAAGAGGCAAAATACAGCGAAGAGCAGGGGTAATGACAAAAAAGGAACAGTCCGGCGCTACTTGAGGAGATGCGTCCAGCGGGTCCAGGTAGACGTGGCAGGAGCAAGGGGGTGACGTTTAGTGGGTAGTGTCCTCCAGACAGCTTAAGGAGAGTCCCACACTCCGTACGTAAAGGTATTTTACACCTCCAAAAAAAAAAAAAAAAGTATATTCTTCTACAGGGTGAGTCAACGATAGAGTAAAGTAGTTTACTATCTGGTTACACGAACAAGCTAATAAAAGTTATAAATTTTGCAGTCAAACTTTAGAGGGCCAAGTAACATAAAAACTAGATGTAGATTATCTAGAAAATATTTACAGTGCGTATTTGGACGGATTTATTTTAGTACCCATATTGAATAATCGAAATGGTAAACCAGAATGCTGCCAGTGAAATAAAAAATAATTATTATACTTTGTGTAAAAGAAAATTATCATATCAGTGGCCGTTAAAAAGCTAGTCGATTATACATGACCTTATAGCTATTATATACCGTATGATCGAACTATTATATCGTATCTTTGACCGTATGATCGAAAAAAAACGGCGTCAGCGATAGCTATGAAATTAATATCGTTGTCATTTTAAATGTTAATTTATATGGGAATTGTCTTCCATCGTCATTTCCCAGCCAACTGGTGGCATTCACAATATAGAAATACACTAAGAACGTCAAGACTATGATTTTGAGTTATTTAAATAAAATTAATAATAAGTAATACCTAATATTAATTAATAACTAATTATTTAACTAGGAGTTTATGATTAATAATAAAATACTTTACGACTTTTCATGGCAACTATGATGTTTTAGCGTAAGTAAACTAAAAAAAAACAATAAAATTGAAATAGTCAGAACAGAATAAATGGCAAACTATTAAAAACAGGTATATATTTTATCTTCACATATACCGGGTGCGTCTCGAAAGGAATGACTTTTTACACACCTTTATGACTTTTGTATTTTTTTCAAATAAAAAAACTCGATTTGGTATGTTAGTATACGTTAGTATACGACATAAATTAGGATTGATTGGCGTGTTCAAATGTTTTTGGTCACTTCGCGTTTCACCGAAAATGACAACAACTTTTGATTTTTATATGGCGCCCTCGGTATATTTCTGCTTTATTCGATAGAAAAGGTCACGCTGAATAGAATGATATATGATACGTCAACTTTTGACATTTTTTTTGTTACATCTCTCCTACCTGCCAATATACCGGGTGCGTCTCAAAAGTGACTCACCCCCTATAATTTTTTTATTTTTTCAGATAAAAAAACGAGATTCGATATGTTAGTATATGACATAAATTAGGATTGATTGATGTGTTCAAATGTTTTTGGTCACTTCCCGTTTCACCGAAAATGACTAGAACTTTTGATTTTTATATGGCGCCCTCGGTATATTTCTACTTTATTCGATAAAAAATGTCACGCTGAATAGAATGATATATGATATGTCAACTTTTGACATTTTTTTTTGTTACATCTCTCCTACCTGCCAATATATCGGGTGCGTCGCAAAAGTGACTCACCCCCTATAACTTTTTTATTTTTTCAGATAAATAAACGAGATTGGGTATGTTAGTATATGGCATAAATTACGATTGATTGACGTATTCAATTGTATATATTGTAGTCACTTTCTGTTTCACCGGAAATGACTACAACTTTTGATTTTTAAATGGCATCCTCGGTATTTTTTATTTAGTTCGATAGAAAATGACATTTTGAATAGAATGACATGTCATACGTCAACTTTTGACATTCTCGCTTATTAAAGAATAGTATTTTAAAATTCAATCTAGGGTGCCATGGCTATGTTAAAAAAAACTGGAACGAGGGATGGCTCATTAGCATATTTGGAAAAAGCATTTTTTTATGAATAATTTTATACCACACACTTGTTATTTCGAGTCAAATTTTCGTTACGAACCGCAAGTTATAATTTCAATTAACCATATGTGAATATGTCAAAAGTTGACATATTATACGTCATTCTACTCAGAGTATCATTTTCTATCGAATAAAGTAAAAATATACTGAGGGTGTTATTTTAAAATCAAAAGTTGTAGTTCATTTCCGGTGAAACAGGAAGTGATCGAAAACAATTATTGAATACGTCAATCAATCCCAATTTATGTCATACATGCTAACATACCAAATCTCGTTTTTTAACTGAAAAAATAAAAAAAAGTTACAGGGGTGAGCCATTTTTGAGACACACTGGGTATTAACATTTTATCAATATATTTAAAACGATTTTTTTTAGTTTTTTGTAGTCATTGGAGATCCTACCAGTTCTTCGCCGAATCTGTCGTAAATTCGGATGCATTTTACGGTGCTGTCAACTGTAATAAATGGGAAGAGTATGAAGAAGGAATATGTAACGATCAAAATAGTTTTACAACGCGTATGGGACTATACGTAGATGAAAGGTAACTTTATATTTTACATACTTTTACACTCTTTAGTCGTTGAAATATAGCCACTGGGGCCTTATATAATTCTAGACCAAATCGGCGGGCATGATTTATATTGTGTATTTATGTAGATAATAAACACATTAGTTTCTATTTAGGTAAATAGTTAAATAACAGTCTATTGGTATGTATTTGTTATATTGAATTATGTTAACATAACTTTTCTTTTTAATATCTTTTGAAAGGACGTAAATGTTTGAATGCTATGTGGAAATTCTAAGGATACTGTAAGGGTTGTTACTTTAAACATTACTTAAAGAATTAAGTAATAGGTACACTTCTTTAAAACTGATTTTAGATTACCTATATGAGAGTGGGGAAGTTAAGCGCCGTAAACTTACAGATCTATTGTGCTTTCGTTTCGTGAGTTATAACTTATCAAACAGTCTTAAGTTTATTTCAGAACCTCGCACTTAGTGGAGTAAATTAGTTGTTTCAATTTGCGTAGAAGTTTATTCCTTTAATTTCAATGTAAGCGTTCAGAACGTTAAAATTACTGGTAGACATTTTCAATTAGTAGAAAAATTTATCAAACTTTTAACTTTTTCACTAATTATACTTCAAAATTTGCGAAAAGTGTTATTTTGGCCTTTGATTATCTTTCGTTAAGAAAAATTGTGGTTAGAAACCAAAAGTTGCTTGTTTTATTGGCTAAATATTAGGCTTATCTCTATGGATACAACTGACTAACGCAAGCTGTTGCTAGGATATTCTATTAATTTTAATTGTGTTTTTTAAATATTGTGAATGATCGTAAACTAAAAAGTATAAAGTGTAATTGAAACCACTAGTTGCTTTAAGCTTTATTCAGAACTTTAAGCCTTATTCAGAACATTACAAGACGTATTCGTATTGAATAATAGTGGGTCCCAATGAGACAATCCACTAGGGCCGCGAGGGCCTATTGTGACTCAGTTTCTAAAAGCTCTTTAATAGAAAAAGAGCATTAAACTTCAACCTCAAGACCAAACCTTCTAACATAGGCTGTTATGTCCGAGATCCGAGGGTGATGTGTTTCCTAGGTCTAATAGGTCTAGCGTGGTTTTGCCAAACAAAAAACCAGGTCCTCACCCCAGCGGGGCAGGTACACATAACGTGCTTCATTGTTTCGTCATCTTCCATACAGAGTTGGCATTCGGCGTTCTATCCTATGTAGGTGTGATCTCAGTCGGCAATGGCCCGTGTATACTGTAGTGAGGGTAAGCGCTCCATTCCTACTAGCCTGTAAGAGTTCTCCTGTTCTACGTTTGGATGGCCCTGTTAGAATTTTCTTTCTATGTTCCATTCAGGGACTGTCATTCCAGTCCTGAACGTCGCACATGTAACCCATTCACAGAGCCTGTCACTTGTGATATTTTTTGGAACGCTAACTTTGCTATTATATATTTTTTGGAAAGCTAACTAGCGCTGTCGGTTCTGGGTCCACGAATGGTAAACCTGCACCAGTTTTGGCGAGGGAATCGGCACGTTCGTTTCTCTCTATGCCAACCTATGTCTCGGTATCCATATTAGCGACACATTGTCCCTATCTCCTAATATATTGAGTAATTTCTTACAATAAAGATTCGTCATAGACGTGCTTTTCGTGGCCTCAAGTGCTTTCAACGCAACTTGACTATCAGAAAATATGCTTTTTGTTTTCCCGGTGTATCGCCGACCAGCAGTTGCAGACAGGTTTCAATAGAATAAAGCTCAGCTTGGAAAATTGTGGTGTGTTTTCCAAGACTGTGGTAGATATCAGTCTTTTGGATTACCGCAGTAAATTCCTGTCCGTGTTAGGTTACACATTTCCGCATGTAATAAACCGTTTCTCGGCTTACCGCATTCGTTCCTATTCGGAAATAAGACGTTGCAGGTGCGTGTTAAGAGTTGGACCGCTGGTGTGAGATCTGAGACCATTCCCAGAATCTCATTCGACTGTAGTTCGTCTACTAATCGGTTTTGTATGAACTTGATTGTTCCATGGCATTCCCGTGCCATATTTATTATATGTAGCCCATCCCGCCTTTCTTTAAAAAAAAGAGGAGGTAAGTCGAGTAGGGCTTCCATAGCTTCTGAGGGCGTAGAATGAAAGGCACAAGTCACCGCTAAGCATGCTTTTCGTTGTAATTTTGACAGTTTATTCTTTGCCGTTGTTTGGTTGGCTTTCTACCACAAATCAATGCACCATACGCGATAATAGGTCTGATGGCTGGCACGTATAGCCAGTATATATTTTTGGGGTTATTAAAGTTGGGAATTAAACAGTTTCTGCTGCAAATTCGGCAACATGACAAGAGAAGCTTTTTTGAGTTTTTTTTTCAGATGGAATGTCCCGTTCAGTTTTTTGGCCAGGTTTAATCCAAGATAACTAACTTCTTCCGCAAACGGAATTGTTTCACCAAGAAGAGTGGGCGGTTTCAATTTGTCTATTTTTCTTTTTCTGGCGAATGGTACGATCACGGCTTTCTGTGGGTTTACACTTAGTTGTTCCAGTGTGCACCAGACGTGAATTGCATCTAAGACTTCCTGTATCTTTGAGGGGATATCTTCCTCTTTGTGTTCTTTTACTAGGATTACCAGGTCGTCCGCATATCTTGTGCTTCAGCCTTGTATGCATTGATGATTGCCATCAGGCCGTCCGCTAACAGGGTCCACAGAAGAGGAAAAAGAACTCCTCCTTGCGGGCATCCCCTGCCCGGAACAAACCTAACGGTTAAGCGAGGTCGTTACTATTCGTTTTTTGAGCATTTGCTCAATCCATTCAGTTATGGTTGTTTGAGTTCTCGGGCTTTTACTGCGCATATGAGTGATTGAAGGGTAACATTGTTAAATGCTTCCTCAATGTCTAAGAATATCCCTATCGCAATCGTTACAGGGTGTCCCAGAAATAAGTGCAAGTATTTGAAGGGGTGGTAGATCTGGTCAAAAGAAACATTTTTCTCTTTACAGTTTTTCAAATAAGTCCAAAATAACCGAGTTATTTTACTTTGAATATTTCCAAAAAAAAAATTTTTTGCTAAAATCTTGAGCTAAAATCTTGAACCACTGGATCTTTTCTGGATTGTCTTTCTTGTAAATTTAATTTAATACCTATGTTGCCATAATATCAAGAAATTATGTTTTTTAACTAAAAACTAAAAAAAAATTCCAAAAATTTTTCAAAAAATTTCAAATTTTCAAATTTTTTTTTTCGCGAAAAAAACCTCATAGGCGTGTTTCTGGGGTCGAACTATACTACTAGTTAAAATACTTGCGCTTATTTCTGGGACACCGTGTCTATAGGTGCAATTTACTTGCGATCAAAGGTACTCTTAATTTTCCCTACCAAATTGTCGAGGGCCAGTTCTGTTGATTTTCCCTGTTGGTAAGCATTAAGCACATGACTAGACATTCAGGGGATTAGATGTAAGGATCCTCCCCCTAATATATCCTTCCAATGTCTTCTCTAGGGTTTTCAGAAGAATGGATGTAAGGCTTATTGATGGATATGAGCCAGGTTGTACGTTTTGTTTTCCCACCTTCGGTATGTATACCACCTTCGCTTTCGTCCAATCAGCTGGCTGGTGCGACCATGCCAGACTTGCTCTGAAAATCGGCTCTGAATTTACTGAAATATTATATTTGATAGCAAAATTTAAATGTTCTACTTAATTAATAGTTTGTTCGGTAAGTGTTAAAAGCCATATAATTCAACTTTATTTGCTGTCTGCATATAACTAACCACATACTATTTTAAAATAGTACACATAAAATATAATATTATTTAAAGAATGTACTACTATAAGTGTTAAAAATATCGATGTAAGACTCTCACTTAGTATTTTTATCCAATTAACTGGTTATAGCCTTATGGGTGTAGATAACGTGAATTGAATATTTGAAATACATTTACACATTTGTACTAACTATAACTTGAAAACGGGTCCTATTTCAGGAGATATAGTAAAATTTATATTAGCCCCATATACACTATATTATAGTTATATAATAATCATTATTTAAAATTTATGGACTATTTAGGTGTGTCTGTGTGTGTGTTTATATTTTTATTTTATATTAAGTAACAAAATGGTTAAGGAAGTTGACACATCGAATAAAGTTAATATTTTATTACAATAGATTTAGTAAATTAATTGAATATTATATTTTGTGTAGTATAATGTGTGTACTAGGTATATAAATTTTATTTAAAAGAATTGAAAACTGTCTATTTTGTAATATTGATTTCCATAAATATTATAGATATACGGGGTTTAAATAAATAGTTCGAAATAATTACAGCAGATACTATAAATTTAAGCTGCCTTTTTCATATAACGTTTTTTAATTTAATATTTCCTATTCAAGTTATTTGCTAAGGCAGAATGAGACAAAACCTCAATTTTATAGACTATTTTCTAAAATGGATAATATTAGATTGATAAAATATCGAAATTTGAATACATGTGACAAGTTTCGTTTGATCTAAAGAATATCTACAAACTACAAAAAATATTTTAATTTGGGATTAAGTTTAAGTAAAGGTCGAAGTAATTTTATCATATAATAAAGAATTATAATTACCTATATAATATTATTCTAAATGTTTATACTATAAATTTAATAATATATTACGCTTTGAATACATAAGTATACTAGAAGTCAAAAAATTACTATTAACATCATTAATTTTTATTGTTAATTATTTAGTTTAATTTAGTTGTTGTCTGAACCCGTATTGATAATCTGTTTTATTTTTTATAATTAAAACTATTAGTTTTTATATTTAATGAGCAAGTTTGATAGCAATAATTATATTATTTAACTACCTCTCTTATTAGAGCTAGCGTTTTCTAATACTGATTTAAGATTATTTATAAGTTATTAAAAATACAGTCATTAAGTATATATGTTTATTAGTTTTAATACATATTTACATTTTACATATTTTCAGGGCAAGAGGTAATTTCTACATAACTACTAATCCCGAATCACCCTACTCAAAAACATAACCGAAGATAAACATAACAGAAAATTGGTCCAGTGTTTCCTACAGATCTATTTAGTCGAAAATATTTAGATATATTTATTTAGCTAGATCATATTGTAAATATTCTCTTATTATAAATTGTAAAATATTTTATTTAATTAATGTTAAGTAAAGATAATATTGTAAGTATAGTGTACCAATATTTATACCAAAGGGGCTCAAGAACTTATATAGATATTCTTTCAAGAAATGTTATATTCAATATACCAATTTAGAAGTCTTAAAGACTTTTTGTTGCAGAATAAATCCATCTCTTTCCTAATAATACTTGATAATAAAATAGAAATGACAACAATATTATAATATTAGATAAGTAATTAACACTCTCGACAATCTGAAGAGATATACTTAGCTATTTCCTTGTCAAATGCACCACCAGTCTTAATTGCTCCATATGTCTTTTATGTTTTACAAAGATTGATTTGCAGTTATCCATGGTTCTATTTTGAAAAGTTGCACTAACTAATAATATTTTGGGCATAAAATATTATTAAATTAGGTACTTTATTTCTAAAATGTAGTTATATGTATTGTCAAGTGAGAAAAAATCATGTAAAATATAATTCCAGTAAACCAGTTTGATGTAGGCCCAAGAGATCGGTTACCTGCATGACGTCTACCCAGATATCTTTTTAAATAACATTAATAATTAAATAATTAAAATATAACAATCACGGGTCGAAAATCAAACGCAGGTACCCGAAGTTCGATTCCCTCGCGGTCGTTGCCGGGTTAGTGTAATTATATTGTAAATTGTTTTGACAACGTAACCGGCGATGACTACGAGGAATAGAAGAATATAAAAAGAGTATTCTGAAGAGAGCGGGGTTAGTTGCATTATTAGTTAGATAGTCAGCAGTTTGTCAGCAGTAATCCTGTAAGAGACTAAATACCTATCTCAGCATACTCCGTAAGTCTTTGCATTTCCAAGGCTTGTTCTCCTTAGATTTATATATTATCGTATATTTCTGCAAAATAAATTTATATGAATTCTAATAATAATTAAATCTAATGGTTGTTTTAATCGAAAGATAGATGCTTATCTAAGCCATCCTACCGAACAACCCCCAAGCTAGGTGGCGACAGTTTAGTGATGAAAATAATTACTTTAAAAAGAAAACGTTTAGATGACACACTATTAAGAAATATGCATTCTGCATCATATACAGGGTAATTCCAATTCGAACCTCACTATTATAATCTCCAAAATTATAGGAGATACGAGGAAGGTTAAATTGGGACAAAGCTGTGCATAATGTACCAAGTAATATGCCGTTTAGAAAGATCTAAAATTCCGAGTAGTTTCCGAGATATTCGAGAAAACCCAGTCTTAATTGGTCCATGTCTTTAATATTTTACAAATATTAATCTGCAGTTATCCATGGTTCTATTTTGAAAAGTTGCACTAATGCATAATATTTTGGGCATAAAATAATACTAAATTACGTTATTTCTAAAATGTAGTTACTCGTATATGTATTGTCAAGACTTAAATATATGTCAACTTGGGTTTTTTCAATTGGGAAAAGGAAAGAAGGTCACCGAAGTTCGATAATCTCGCGGTCGTTGCCGGGTAAGTGTAATTATATTGTAAATTATTTTGACAACGTAACCGGCGATGACTACGAGGAATAGAAGAATATAAAAAGAGTATTCTGGCAGAGAGCTGGGTTAGTTGCATTATTAATTAGATAGTCAGATGACAATCGAAGAGCTGAATTGTTAGCAGAAGTGAACAGTTTGTCAGCAGTAATCCTGTAAGAGAGTAAATACCTATCTTAGCATACTCCGTAAATCTTGGCATTTTCAAGGCTTGTTCCCCTTATATTTCTAAATTATCTTATATTTCAGCAAAATAAATTTATATTTTATAATTGTTGTTTTAATCGAAAGATAGATCCTGGTCTAAGCCATTCTAGCGAACAACCCCCAAGCTAGGTCGCGACATTATAGTGATGAAAATAATTAATTTAAAAGAAAAACATTTAGATGACACACTATTAAGAAATATGCATTCTGAATCATATACAGGGTAATTCCAATTCGAACCCCACTATTATAATCTCCAAAATGATAGGAGATACGAGGAAGGTTAAATTGGGACAAAGCTGTGCATAATGTGCCAAGTAATATGCCGTTTAGAAAGATCTAAAATTCCGAGTAGTTTCCGAGATATTCGAGAAAACCCAGTCTTAATTGGTCCATGTCTTTAATATTTTACAAATATTAATCTGCAGTTATCCATGGTTCTATTTTGAAAAGTTGCACTAATGCATAATATTTTGGGCATAAAATAATACTAAATTACGTTATTTCTAAAATGTAGTTACTCGTATATGTATTGTCAAGACTTAAATATATGTCAACTTGGGTTTATATCAAATTGGGAAAAGGAAAGAAGGTCACCGAAGTTCGATATCCTCGCGGTCGTTGCCGGGTAAGTGTAATTATATTGCAAATTATTTTGACAACGTAACCGGCGATGACTACGAGGAATAGAAGAATATAAAAAGAGTATTCTGCAGAGAGCGGGGTTAGTTGCATTATTAATTAGATAGTCAGATGACAATCGAAGAGCTGAATTGTTAGCAGAAGTGAACAGTTTGTCAGCAGTAATCTTGTAAGAGACTAAATACCTATCTCAGCATACTCCGTAAGTCTTTGCATTTCCAAGGCTTGTTCTCCTTAGATTTATATATTATCGTATATTTCTGCAAAATAAATTTATATGAATTCTAATAATAATTAAATCTAATGGTTGTTTTAATCGAAAGATAGATGCTTATCTAAGCCATCCTACCGAACAACCCCCAAGCTAGGTGGCGACAGTTTAGTGATGAAAATAATTACTTTAAAAGAAAAACGTTTAGATGACACACTACTAAGAAATATGCATTCTGCATCATATACAGGGTAATTCCAATTCGAACCTCACTATTATAATCTCCAAAATTATAGGAGATACGAGGAAGGTTAAATTGGGACAAAGCTGTGCATAATGTACCAAGTAATATGCCGTTTAGAAAGATCTAAAATTCCGAGTAGTTTCCGAGATATTCGAGAAAACCCAGTCTTAATTGGTCCATGTCTTTAATATTTTACAAATATTAATCTGCAGTTATCCATGGTTCTATTTTGAAAAGTTGAACTAATGCATAATATTTTGGGCATAAAATAATACTAAATTACGTTATTTCTAAAATGTAGTTACTCGTATATGTATTGTCAAGACTTAAATATATGTCAACTTGGGTTTATATCAAATTGGGAAAAGGAAAGAAGGTCACCGAAGTTCGATATCCTCGCGGTCGTTGCCGGGTAAGTGTAATTATATTGTAAATTATTTTGACAACGTAACCGGCGATGACTACGAGGAATAGAAGAATATAAAAAGAGTATTCTGGCAGAGAGCGGGGTTAGTTGCATTATTAATTAGATAGTCAGATGACAATCGAAGAGCTGAATTGTTAGCAGAAGTGAACAGTTTGTTAGCAGTAATCCTGTAAGAGACTAAATACCTATCTCAGCATACTCCAAATGCAAGTCTTTGCATTTCCAAGGCTTGTTCTCCTTAGATTTATATATTATCGTATATTTCTGCAAAATAAATTTATATGAATTCTAATAATAATTAAATCTAATGGTTGTTTTAATCGAAAGATAGATGCTTATCTAAGCCATCCTACCGAACAACCCCCAAGCTAGGTGGAGACAGTTTAGTGATGAAAATAATTACTTTAAAAGAAAAACGTTTAGATGACACACTATTAAGAAATATGCATTCTGCATCCTATACTGGGTAATTCCAATTCGAACCCCACTATTATAGTCTCCAAAATTATAGAGATACGAGGATAACCAGAGTTCTCGAGATAATCGAGAAAACCCAAAAACTAAAAAACGATTTGACAAGGTATCCCAAAACTAAAATAATATTTTCATTGCCACTTTTTCTCAGCTAGACAACAGTGTTTTCAGATTTGTTATCCGACGTTTCGTCTTTTGGCCACCATCATCAATTTTATTTTATTATTATTTAATTATTTTACTTATTTATTTATTTAACTTTGACCTAATTTAACCATCCTTGTATCTTCTACCGGCTGGTGCATCGTCGTTGGAAACAGAAACAAAAAAAAGCCATACAAATTTTGATTTGTCCAAGTATTGGCTCCCCTATTAATTTTACAGCGAAGCTCGAAGTCGTAAATAGGTTTTTAAAGGTCTGCGGGTCTGCGTATGTTGAATACATATGCTAACTGTGAACAATGTTGGGCAAGTCGATTTTAAGTAATTTAAGAAAAATCGCATTTATGTTTAAATTAAAACTGAGCCGGTAACAACGCAAAACCAGGCAAATGCTAATACACCCATAGATAAAAAAAATAAATTTAGATTGGAAAGCCCGTCAAAATATATATTTTTTGGGGGTCGCGACCGTTGTACGCTTTGAATAAGGTTGTACGCGATCTGCTATAGCGGTTGCTAAGAACAACCGCAAAAAATAACAGAAATAATTTTCTCTTGTCAAAGTCAGAATCCATTCCAAAGTAATTATTGCTATCTTGCGAGTTTAATTGAAATTTTATTTACTCGAACCCGTGATAATTGTAAAAAGTGGCATTAAAAACTAAAACTGTGTTGTGAACTGCAAAAAGCATCGTGTATTGTGGCACAATGTCGGTTTCCAATGTTTCATAGTAGTCTAAGAGCTAGCAACGTTTTCGAGGAACTATTTAAGACGTCTGGCTCTTTGATATATCTTTTACTATGCTCACTGGAACAGCATGCGTCCCGTCTGGCTGCCGATACCCGTTGCGTATACTATTATTGCGCATCGGAAGAAGATCCTATATTTTTTATTAATTTAGATCTATAAATTCTAGTATTGAATATAAATCGAACATGTCTCCATAGCGCAATGCGTAGAGTTTTCGACCACAAACCGATTATTCAGAATTCGAATCCGGGTCAGGACAATTTTTTTATTTTATTTTCGTTTATATTCTGATAGTAAAGTATTAAATAATTCTGGTGATTAAAAAAAAAACAAATATATAATACTCTACTATCAGAATCTAAAAGAAAATAAAATAAAAAACGTCCTTGCCCTAACCCGGATTCGAACTCTGAATCATCGGTTCGTGGTCGGAAACTCTACGCACTGCTCTATGGAGACATGTTCGATTTATATTCAATACTAGAATTTAAAGGACTTATAAAAATATAGCATCTTCTTTCAATGCGCAGTAGAGAACGCAACGTTTACCGGCAGCCAGACGGGCCGCATGCTGTTCTAGAGAGCATAGTAAAAGATATATCAAAGAGCGAAAGGTCTTAAAATACTTGTTTTTCCGACGTTGCTAGCTCTCGTACTATAGGTATTTCATACATGTCCTTATATAAAATAAAGATTCTTATATGCAACACACTGTATTTTATTTATAAAATTAAAAGAACATAATAATAAATTTGTGAGTTTTTATATATGTGTATGTTATAATGAAGAGTGTTTATATTGTCCTTATAGGCACTTTTCAATCTAAACTTGTATCATTTATCTATGCATATACCTTAATTTGGTAACATAATGTTGTCAATGTCGCTAAAAACAGACAGAAACTAAACGTTAGGCTTTTGTCTGTTTGGAACAAGTATTAAATTACAAAGATGCATTTCGGGTATACTAACTATACGGTTATTCGGTACTATAGCGTAGTAGCCTTAACAGCACTTTGACAAATTGAGAAAATTTTACAAAAATGGGAACTTAAGGTATATTAACATTTGTTTGGTTTTGCATTTTTACCTGTTCAGTTTGAATTTAAAAACAAAAAAGTTTTTCTTAAATTCGATACAAACAGCACCTTTAAAAAAAACTATTAACGACTTCGCTGTAAAATCAACAGGGGAGCCAATATTTGGACAGTTAAAATATACATGAGATTTTCTGTTTCCAACGCCGATGCACCACCCGGTATAGTTTTCCATATCCCAATAGTGGGGTTTGAATTTGAATTACCCTGTATATTTAGGTAAATAAATAATAAATAGGTGTAATTAATTAATAGTTTGCACTACTTAAATTTATATCCTTAAGTGGACAATGTCGTGCTTAATATGTCTAGAAGCTTGGTGGACAATAAATTAAGTTTGTTAAAAAATAACACAAGAAAGAAATAAAACTTTTCGGGAGCTAACATGTTGCGGGATACGGGAATTAAAAGAAAGTTTGTCACTAAGAGCCATTAAAGATAAAAATTTTAGAAGTTGTTTCTTTAATTGTGGCTTTTGAATAAACGTTGTTTTGATACCAGCAACAAGCACAATTAAAATTAATGATACCTTTTATACGGAATACAATTTGAATATTTCTTTAGTACACTTAAAGAATGACAGGTAGATTCATTTGGCTTGGAAATATTTGTAACGCTGAGAAGAAAAATAATAAATTTTGTAATATGATTGGCATTACATTGATTCTACGAAAACTTAATATTGACTGATATAATACTCTACTGGAAACAGTAGAGGAGAGATATATTGATATTTGGGACAACTAATACACAGCTAGGGATCTGTACTACCAGAAATCGACAGAAGAATTAAGTTAGTATGGAGTAATTCTGGAGAAACTCAACCATATTTAAATCTAGAATGCCACTCTATCTAAAGAAAATAATATTCGACCAATGTGTACTATCAGTCATGACCTATACATGCGAATCCTGGACACTTAAAACTAGAATCCTGGACAGTAAAAGGAAACTGCAACCTAACCAAACATGTGGCTATCTATTTCAAAAATTAAATAATTGTTCCAATCCTATATAATATTGGCCGTAGCTGTCATGGAATTAAGCGATTAAGAAATTATCATAAATAATTTTTTTCAAATGGAAACCCACTTTTTTTATTTCAACAGTGAAAAAATTTTTAATTCGTTACTTTTGATTATACATGTTCCTATACCTAAAATAAATCGTTTTTAAGTTATTTAAAATTTAGTTTTAAAGGGTAGTGTAAAACGATGTAAAACTATATCTGGTCATATCATATTGCCATTAGCTATCACTAAAATACGAGATATATTTTTATAAATACACTTATAAAGTTTTATCAGCAGTATTTATAATATACGATATTCAAATAAATAGTTTTTTGACAGAAGGAAATAAATTTTCTGATGACTTGACACTTAATGCCAACGGAAGCTAAATAAAATCAAGAAAAAATTACGCTTTAATTAAGTAACCGAAACTCTGAGCTGCGTTTTTAAAAAATGTTATTTTTCAAAAGTTACAGTGACAACATTAAGAGAATAAACAGGAATGACAATAGTGTGAGAACATTTTGCTTTTATATGTAAATAATGCTGATTCGGGAGAAAACGATCTTCTGCAGCTATTCTTGGCATGGCCTTGATTCGCCGGATACATAACTCCTCCCTCCTTAAGAATCAAAAAACGACGGAGTTGATTTTTGATGAACTTGGCTTCAGCTCGACATCTTTTCTTTCTTCTTTTTTCGTTTTCTTGAAATTTTGGGCAACAAATCGATACCAGTTGATCAGTTTCCTTCTAAATAATATTAGTAATATGGCAACTAATATTAAGAATCCCATTCCAATATATAGAGTCCCACTGTATAGACTGGTATATACAGGGTCGTCTGGTAAAGTCAATTGGTTTGCCATGTCCTTCAATCGGTATAGCTCTTCCTAATTTATTTTAGCAATATTGGGTGTGATTAGAATTTTGGATATATTGATGTTGGATATTTTAACTTCTGGAAGGATCAGGGCTTTCCCTCTTCTGACTTTCTCGTCATTGAAACATTTCTTATCGTGTATTTGGATTTCGCAGGCCTCCCGAATTTTGACAAGTACTGCTTGATTGATTTGGGTGTATTGATCGGTGTCACAGTTTGCCAATATTCTTTCTGTCTTCACGGGGAGAATTAAAACCATATTTCTTGTTATTTGTTCCACGATTGGTTCTTCAATGTTGACCTTAAAGGCTGTACAGTTGTTCATGCTTCGGTTGTCTAGCAAGTCTTCAACACATTGGTCATGGGGGTGGAATTCTTCGACGCAGAAGTATGTCTCTTCTATGGATGGACAAATTTCGGCGGCGAATTGTCTTCTTGCTTGGGTATATAGCCAAATAGGGGTATCGTGGTATAAAAATAGTTTGATCTTGGATAATTGGAAAAATATGAAAAAAGGTTTTCTGGTCTCAGTATTGGAACATGTATCGCAAAAATTGCTTTACTTAGCTTCCTAACTTACTTGGGTTCCCAAAATTTGATAATATGATAACATATTTTTGAATTTTGGTACTTCTGATGGACTGTAGAGTTTAACTAGATAATTCAAAATTTCCTTTAAGTCGTTACTCGATAAAACACTATTATGCAAAGCATTGACTTTTGAAAACATGATAGCATCTTCCAAGTTGTCCAAAAATAAGATTAAATTTTGGCAATCTAAATTTAGCTGTGTTGTAACTCCTTGGAAACTAAGATAGTCATTTAGGCTACTTATAGTTTGTTGTACCGATGATTGGAATGTTTTTAAACTGAACTCTAATATATTTTGATTATTACTTAAGGTTGTTATAGTTTTATTATAATTATCTATTAAACCTTTGGAAAGAGAAATTTGCATTTTCATTTCTTTGATGGTTTTTTTCTGATTATTTTCTAGTGTAGAGATAGCTTTTTTTTCTTCGTTTGTTGGGGTGTCAAAGTTGTGTGAATCTTTTGCTAATAAATCAACTGTTCTGGTCTCTGTTTCGGAGTTCTTGTTTATTACAAATGGTCTATTTATTGTTCTGTGTGTTAAGTTATTCTTCTGACTACTTTCTTGAGATCGAAGTTTCTCAGGTGGTTTATTACGAAATACTTGAGAAGAATCTGCAGTTGTTGTTATAATTTCGGATCATATTTGAATGTTCTCTAGTGGTTGTTTTATATCGATATCTGATAATATTTCTCTACGATTTCGTTTTGTTCTTTTATTTCGTTTCTTTCTTTTGTTAGGCTTTTTATCTACTAGGAGAAAAAAGTCTCTTATAGAACTATCAGTATCGCCTAGGTTATGAACAATGTCGGTGTTTGTCTTCACTTGATTCCTTGAAATTTCGGCTTGTTTCGAAATTTCGGAATTTTCGGCTTGCTTGTTCTTGTCCTTTTTATCTTTAGTTGCGCACCCCTAAATTTCACGTTTTTCGTTTGCGTACCTATATTTTCTGACTGATTTAAATTTGAAGGATTTATTGATTTATTTTCCCTATCAAAATAATAAAAGTTTACTAAATTATTTATTTCATGAGAATTTCTTTTTAAAGATTTTACTTCTAATGTTTTATTCAAAATAACTGAGACAGTTTTATTAGTTGGATTTTGAATTTTAACTGTCGCAGAACCATTTTCAGAGTTAGAAAGTGTAGAAGGAATTATAAGTTTTTCTAAATTAGTTCTATTAATAATTATATCGCCCTTGTATATACTTACTGGTATTTGTTTCAAAGCTTTTTCGTTCGATTTTAACGTTATGCAGAAATTTGCTTCGTAAGGTGTTCTATATTTAAAAGGAATCTCGAAGTTAAAACCTATGAGTTTTTTATTTACTAAGTCGATGTTTAATTGTAGATTTATTAAATCTTTTATGCCCACTTGCACCGTTTGTATAAACCTTGTTTAAAGGCTAAACAGTGATTAACTTTAATAACATATTATATAGTTAATCACTGTTTAGCCTTTAAACAAAGTTTATACAAACGGTGCCACGTGGGCATTAGACCTATAACACCGTCGAAAAAGTTATGAAAATCAAATAGAATAAAATCGATTGTGTAGACTTCTGAACATTTTAAAAATGCTGGTATTTTTGCCTGAAATTGTGTTGTTTCGCTACCTATCGCTGTTTTAATTGTATTAGGTTCACGATTTATACAGCGTGGGTAAAATTTTTCTGCAATTGTTGGTTTTAAAATTGAACGTGAGCTGCCGGTATCTATTAAAAGTTTAATATTAGGTAATTCGATGTACGGCAAAACACCGCTGGCTGATATATTTATTTCTACTATGTTGGGTTTTCTGGATAGGCTGGATTGTGAAAATTTCCGCATCCATGATTTTCTTCATTAGGTTTTTCGAAATTTTGGATTTGTCGATAGTTCGTGTTTTCCATGTTTGTTGTAAAATATGTCTCATTTTCGATATTTCCACAGTTTTGATCATAGTACTGTTGGACATTTTCTTCGTTTCCTTCATATTCATTAGCGTGTAGTTCTTCAAAAATAAATTGTGGAGGATTCCAACCTCTCTGTTGTTGGTTATTGAACTGATATTGCATGGATTGTTGTTTACTAAATCCGTTCGTATTCTTTACGCTAATAGACATGGGTGTTGGTTTTGTTCGTTGGCTTGGTGGAATTGGTTTTGGTGCAAACACGTTTTGTGGTGGACCAAAAACTTCTTTGTTCGTAAAATATCTTTGCGGGGGTAGTTGTCGAGGTTGAGGCATATTTATAGGCTGAGAAGGCCAGGTTTGAAAATCAGTATAGCTTCCCGAATTATTAAAATTTGGATTGTTAGGTGTATTAAAATTTGGAGTATTATTATTTTGAAAATTATTAAAATTTGGGCTGCCGAAAATAGAATTATTTCTATTGGCATTTGATTGACTAAAAATATTTTGTTGATTAGGATTAGTATTGAAATTATTTCCGAAATTAAAATTCGATTGATTCATTGATTTTTGATTTGGAAATCCTGAGAAATTTTGTGCATTGGAAAAAATATTTTGTTTATTTTGGGAACCAAAATTATTTTGATTTTGAGAGTTATTTAAGTTTCCATACAATTTCTCAAAATTCTCAAATTCTACAACATATGCCATAGCATCTTCGAGCGAGTTTAGTTGTTTAAGATGCATGTTATTTTTTAGTGTTCCCGTGCATCCAGCAATGAAAGTATTCAATGCAGTTTTCTCGTAATATTTAATATGACATAATTTTTGTTCTTGTGTTAAATTTAAATCATTACTAATGCGTTGTGCCACGTTACTTCTCAACAACTGTAATCTAGTGCCGAAATTAATTAGATCTTCGCCTTTGTATGGCCTGGTACGTGTTAGTTCCTGAACCAAACAATCTGTGTCTCTGCGGTCTGAAAAACACTGTTGCAAAGCTGCTTTTAAAGATTCCCAGTTTGTTAGTTCGGATCTATTACCTACCATAACTTCCGCCCTACTAATCAATTTCTCCTGCACACAATCAAAGATATGAGAATTCAATTCACTGTTATTGTGAATAGAATAAATTTGAATTAATTTGTCACATTTCAAATTAAATTTATTCAAAGTATTACAATCACCATCGAAAGGTTTAATATTATTTAAACGTGATTTAAATAAATCCCAATCTACGGCTAATGTATCGTCATTATTTGTGTTAGGCATTTTTATTTCTGTTTTATTAAAACTAAGAGTACTTAATCTATTAACTAGGTCTTCTAATTCGCTCATTAAACGATTAGAAATCTATAAAAATAATTTTTATTTAGTATTTAATTGAATTTATTTCATTTATTACTTTCTTTTCGGTTTATTTTGTCTTATTTATTTTACTTATTGATTGATTGCTTTTTCCTAAACTAATTGTCTGCGATAGACTGACCTAAACTAAATTTTGTATTTAATACACTGATAATTAAATATTCCGACTGAGTCCTTAATCAGAGGGTCAGAAGGAGCGAAAGGAATTGGCACCTACCTTTTACTGTAGTCTCCAACTCTTCCCGATTCCCGGATGTCGAAATGCTGCTACTGCCGCTGCTGCTGGTTGCTGGTTCGTAAAATTGCACTGAAGAGCTTGAAAACTCACGTAGCTTTCTCCCAATTTGACGAAAATGTTCGATAATCGGTCGAGACACTCCCGAAATTTAGAAAAATACTACTACACAATCCTACCGACTGCGCCAATTAAGTAACCGAAACTCGGAGCTGCGTTTTTAAAATTTTTTATTTTTTAAAAGTTACAGTGACAACATTAAGAGAATAAACAGGAATGACAATAGTGTGAGAACATTTTGCTTTGATATGTAAATAATGCTGATTTGGGAGAAGACGATCTTCTGCAGCTATTCTTGGCATGGCCTTGATTTGCCGGATACATAACTCTTTAAAATAAATCTTAAAAAATAAAAACAATATATTTTAGGTATAGGAACATGTATAATTAAAAAGTAATGAATTGAAAAACCTTTTCACTAGTGAAATAAAAAAAGTAGGTTTCCATTTGAAAATAATGATTTATGATAATTTCTTAATCACTTAATTCCATTACAGCTACGGCCAATATCATGTGACATTTGAACAATTTAATTTTTGAAATAGATAGCCACATGTCTTCTCTTTATGCCACAGTAGCTGTGGTAATCACTAAATTTGTCGTTTAGGCTATACCGATTTTTTTGAGAGGCAGTTTTTTTCTCCAAAAATTTTAATTTTTTGTTCTCAAAAACGGTAAATGTTAGGTATAGTGTGTTAGATATCAACATTTATAAAATTTTACAGAGAATTTAAATATGTAATAAAAAATGGGGGTACCCATTTAAAATAAGAAAATTGCTGTCAACTTTCGGTATTTCCGGAAGTGCCGCCATATTGAAAATATTTTTAATCGATTGATCTCGTTGTGAAACAGTGATGTACAAAAAATCTTCGATCTAGAAGTTGTAGTTCTCTATTAACTTCTACTGCACGCTCAGCCTGGTACACCCTGTATATGGAATAGGAATCACACGCACACAGGATCAGTGTTCAATATGAAAGGTATGTTTTTGATGGCTTAAAATTAATCCCTAAGTAGGCAGTTTATATAAGTTTCTCAAATTTTTAATAATGAGAATAGCTTGCGAATGATATAACAAGAACACAGATCACGCAGTACACGCAAACGCTAATTATTATCTGTAAGTTGAATTTACTTTCGTTTAGAAATTCAAATAAATGTTCGATATTTTAGATATCGTGCTCTGTGCTCTGTAGTATACCTATGCATTGTATTATCCGTCGTAAATTTCCAATTTATTTGGGACCGTTTTCGACAGGAGCGGGGGGTACGGAGTTGCGTGCGGGTGCTTAAGCCCGATCGTATGGCATGATCAAGTTCAGTATCCAGAATCCACTGGTCGAGTGTACAGATGTAAAAAAAATATTAATAATACTCTCTACAGGGTGAGTCTTAAATAAGTGCAAATATTTTTAGGGGTAGTATATTTCAGCCCCAGAAACACAGTTTTTTGGATTTTTTTTTAGATTTTAGTTAAAACACATAATTTATTAATAATATGGCAACATAGGTACTAGATTAAATTTACAAGAAAGAAAAAGAAAATCCATAAAAGATCCTGTTGGTTTTTTGGACTTATTTGAAAAACAGCAAAGAGAAAATATGTTTCTTTTATCGAGATCTACTAGCCCTTAAAATATTTACACCAATTTAAGACTCACCCTGTATAATACACAACACAACAATAATTGGTTGATTTCCATACCTTCTAATTATTCCTGTTGACAGCACTAAGCATGCTATTTCCATTGCATTTTCTCGACCGATGTCTAGATTGTTTATACATGCCATATGTTTTACATGCATTATTTATGGAAAAAGACTAGCGGACTATTGTAAATGCATGTCGCCCATAACCAGTTGCGGTAAATTTATTGAATTCTTTAATAATAGAAGATATTTTGGCCATATTAAGTTGGTCATATATTTGTATTATTATTAAGCACTGTAGCGGTTATGCACCAACCACCGCTGAAATCATTATGAATACTGTTTAAGGCGCGATTAACTCAGCTATGTTTTAGTAGGTACTAAGGTAGGCGCTAAGCTAATAAAAATGAACAGAATAATGGTGGGCTCATGCTTCCGATCTTGGCTCTAACACTAATATTAATCCTAATCCCAAGAATATGAATCAACGTAAACGATTGCTAGCGTTCATGCTTCCAACGCGCAACGTGTCGACCTTAACATTAGCCTTTGTCCTCACGAGTTCTAAGAAATATGGGAGATTTGATATTCTTAGCGCTAATGCTAATTCAGAATTGACTTGCGCATGCTCAAAACTAGGGGTTTTAAGAATTTCGGAAATTATATTTGACATATTGAATTTGACGGTTTATAAATGTAAAGGAGAAAGAATATTTTGTTTCCTAGAAATTATTAATGTAAAAATGAGTCTCTTTAGTAATCGAAATTCCAAAAATATTTGTTTAAAGTTTAATTAAAATAAAGTTTATTAGTTGCGAAAATGGTATAGAGTATACCAATTTTTAGAAAGCTTATTTTAACAAGGCAAATCAAATAAAAATATAATATATTTTTATTTGATTTGCAAATAAAAATATATGATATTTTGGAATATAAGTAAACTCAGTTTTCACCTTTTCGATAAGATCGAAATATGCAGTATTTTAACATTCGTCCTGTATTTCAGGAACTAAGAAGGCTAGTACCCAAGGCTAGTACAAACCGGTGTTTAGTTTCACAAAAAAGTAGCGCAGTGATGTGAAAACTACATATTTCTATCTCTACTCATAAAGGGAAAAACCATAAAACACACAAAAATGGAACACCCTGTAAAACACATTTACATTTTACTACTTAGAAGTTTATAATGAGTATTATTATTATAGACAATTCTTGTAATATTATTCGATTATATATCATGTAATAGACAAATGTAGATTCATAGTTAAACATCTTAAGTAGGTCTCTTTGTTCCCTTGTCGCATGTTAGCAAAAAGAGAAGAAAAAGACCTTCAAAGTTACGCGAAACGCAGAAATATTATTGTTTCAAAATTGATGTTAAATTATTTATAATATGAATGTCGTGCGTGCTCAGTCTGGACGTATTCGTTTGACAAAATTCCCAGCGCAGGGACATCTGCATCCAGATTCTTTCTGAAGTTAGTCCCATGGGATTTTGCAGGAGCACATGCCACATCGGTTTTAGCTCTTTTGTCAGTAACTGGAGATGACAAAAAGAAAACAATCAGTAAATGGAAGTTTCTTATAATGAAGTTTTCTATGAAACGACTATTCATAATTTAAGAGGATATATTTTTTTATTAAATCTAGCAAAAGCTAAAATATGCTGTTAAGACGTAGAGACCTAATAAGAATTTTAGAATAGGTGTATTATTTTAAGTTAATTTTATTATTATTCAGAAAATATGTCAGCAATAATAACGCACAACTTAAAAATATTTTCATGGATATATAACATATACAGGGCAATTCAAATAAATTTTTAGACCAATGTTTTAGTTAGTTTGTTTTGAGCTGATTTATTATAAAATTCCCTTTCGAAAAATATCATCCTGTCAAGCCATCTATAGAACGTTCAGCCATCCATACGTCATATATTATTGTCAAACTATTTCAATCACTTGCCAATGAGATGAAAGAAATTACTGCATATTTTTTTAGTAATTGTCATTGTCATTTTATTTGGGGTTATAATTTTATTGACGGACATTGATCACGATTAATTTTTTTTGACGGACATGTCAAAATTAAAATTTGGTTGTTGCTGTAAAACAAAATTTACATTTTTTATTGCAAAAATGCCTCAAAGATTTAACCAAAATGAACAAGATCTCATTTCTGTCTTAAGAGACGCTGGTAGAATACTCTTGCCCGTGGACGCCGTATATGAGGTAAATACAATGCAAAGGTTTCACAAGCATTCCTGTGTAAGATAACATTTTTAAATAATATAGCGAATTGCTGATGCTTTAAAAATATCACACGGTGCAGATTATAATATTATTATAGTCCGAGAATAGGCATTTGTTGGAAAGCAAATTTGCGAGAAAAATATACATTATAATATTTTAAAAACTAAAACGTTAAGGTGCGTTCACACCGGCTACGCCGCTCCGCGCCGCGCCGCGCAATTCATTTTTTTAACATGTACTTATGAAGTGTATTTCTTTAGCGCGCACAAAAGTATATGTTAAAAAAATGATTTGCGCGGCGCAGCCGGTGTGAACCACCTTTAGAGCTCAAACGCATTGATGACCAGAGCGCAGCGACAAGCCAACGGCCAGGACATGAAATGAAATGATAAATTAAAAAAAAATCAATCAAGCAGTCTGCAATCAACTGATCGCAGCTGCGACCAATCTGTGACAAAGCTACACGCACACTGGTGCGATCACGGCCGCGATCAGGATCTCCATGCGGCCGCGGTCAAAAGTTGCCGAAGATGCCTTTTCACATTGGTGCGCTCGAGTTTTTGAGAAGGAGCGGCCTGGCGGCGCGGCTGCGGCGTTCTATTCTGCGTAGCAATCAGATTCAACTTGTCGAGTTGGATCGCGACGCAACAGCTAGGGATTTTCCGTTATTTAGTATGCTTCTTATTGTTACAATTCAGAAACAGAGCAGCTAATTGAGACCGTAAAAGACACATTCTACGAGTACCTATATGATTTTTCCAATTCGAGCTACAATAATAATAGAATTAGAAATAAAGTTTAGGACGAAATCGAAGTTGCAATTGGATTGGATGGTACATATCATGTACAAATTTTGATTGTTTAAGTTTAAAGATTTTAAGTAAATATATAAGAATGTTTTTTTTTGGGTTTTATACACACACGTTTAATTTACACCTATGTATACCTACAGTGTGGTGCACTCCATAGGTACGGCGGTGAACGTGAACGCGCTGGTGTGTGCTAGAATGATCGCTGATGTTATCGCTGCCCTGGTCGTATTTGAATCACCCAGTATATATATTAAATATTTTTAATATGTGCGCTACTATTACAAAGTTTACTTTTTTACCATTACCCGCATACCTATATCCTATGAAAATTGGTTTGGAAATCATAGATAGGAAAAATAATATTGATTTTTTGGGATCACTTATAGGTCATCCTGTAGGTATAATAAAACCTTTTTATAGATATATGAATAATTACTGTTAAAATAATTTAGTAGAATTACCTGATCGAATGGAATATATCCAATAAAAAACATCTTATGTAAGAGAGGTAAAGGACGTTGTAAAATTTTGTTTGGGGGTACCGAATTTGTACCAATTTTACTGACCTCTAATGTCGAATATAACCATTCGCTATTATTCTTTAAGAAATGATGTAGTGTCTGCAATAGAAATTAATAGTAATATTAGTACTAATATGAATTAATCTTAAACGTATGAGGAGCAGAATTACTAAATGAATATTGTCCATTTTTAAAGATTTTCATCCAATGGTGGCATTGGAAACTTCATACACAGAGTTACAATATTATGTCAGAAACTAAATTCATTTTATCCCATTTAATGGCGAAAATACCTCAGACTTTCTGTGTGTTGTATATCCATTGGCCGTAGGCAAACAAACAGAAAGTTGTTATGTATATCCTTTTTTGTGGAAAGCAACCGAGTAATGAACACTCAAGAGATAGCAGTCTAAACAGATGCTTCCGCATCTTCAGGAGGCACAGGCATCTTCCCAGAGGAACTAGACATCCGACGATCTTTAAGCCAATCGGATGGCTGTAATGTTCTACAAGCAGATGTTTACGCCATAAAGGAAGGGGCTAGTTGTATACGAGAGAGAATTGCTGATAGACCAATAGGGGATATCGTGATATACTCTGACAGCTTGGGCGCTGTAAGAAGCATCACCATGCAATCAGTGAGATCGAAAACGGTGATGGAATGCCGAGAAGCACCGTCCTGGCTGCGTTGGGGCGGAGATACTCTGTGCTGGGTGCCAGGCCACAGCGTGGTGATTGCCCACCACATTGCTGTGGCCTGGCACCAAGGAAGCAGACAGGCTCGCCAAAAAGGAGGCTAGGGAAGAGGCCTGGCAGATGACCCACCACTTGTGACGATCAACACGCTAAAGGAAGCTATAGGAACTGCCATCGAGGCCAAGCAGCAAGACACGTGGTAACACCGTGAGGACTGCGCTACAGCTCGAAGATTGTGGCCAGTGGTAGATAGCAAAAAGACAAAACAACTACTAGAGCACAAAAAAAAACTAGTACTCATAATTGTAGGTGTCGTTACTGGAAATTTCCCCACGGGGGTAATCCTCGTGAGATGGAAAATTTCCAACAACGACTATTGCAGAGAATGCGGAGAGGAAGAAGAAACCATAGAGCACCTGCTGTGTCACTGTCCGGCACTGGAATACCGACGCGACGCTTTAAAACTTTAGTGTGAGGTTTTTTTGGAGGGACTAGAGGAAGCAGCAGAAGCCAACATCAGCGACATCAGGAATTTTGCAAAGAGCTGGAAGTGCTTTAGCGCAAAGAAAAAATGAGAGGAAGGTTTGGTACAACAATACAGGGGTATCGCAATAGGCCCAAGGCCTCCGAGTGAGGGATCAAACAGATCCCAAACCCCAGCAACCTAACCTAACCTAACCTAACCATGTCCTGTTGTGCTGTGGACATACTGCTTTTTGTTTGTCATTGCCAGATGAACGGTTTGTTGTACTACAACTTCTCCATTTTTTGAATAATACTACTTAAAATAATGAATTGAACTACGACTGAGGACCATGTAGTTGGGGATACGGACCGAGAAATTTCACGTCTAAGGGACTCAACAGTTTTTTCAATTTTTTCAGATAGCATCAAAACTATATTTTTCACAAGTAGGTGTACTATTTTTTTCATTTTTTATACATTTTTATACGAATACACGAGTATAAAGTATACGAGTTTTTCATTATTACAGTTGGGGGTTGGAACTTTTGCCGATACTACATAGTTTTTCGGTAAGTTTCTTGCAAAAACCGTAGCAGTTTTTCTTTGTTTATTAAAATTCGAAAAAATTAACAAAACGCATATAGAAAGTCTACTTCTCGAATATGCAATTTGTTATAATAATTGTTATATTGATTCATCAGTTTTTCTGCAATATTTTGTTGTATGTTTAGTGGAGTGGTATGTAAATTCTTGATTTTTTTACACTTTGCTTACTAAGCCGTATTATTTTATTTACTAAGCCGTATATTAGTAGAATATTTTAAAACATTTATTTTACTTTGTTACACTATTATTTGTAACTTACTTTTAGGGCTTTCTTTCCCTGATTGTTTAATAAAAGATCGCTAACTAAAATCTCTAATATTTGTTGATTATTTTCAATTCTAATTGATCCACTATTTTCGGAACATCCAATATCTTCTAAACTAACTTGACTTAAAAATTCCTCTATTTGATCAGTATGCTTGTTATCTTCATCTAAAAAGCAATTATATCTAACAAGAGTACACAGTAACAATTTATTAAAGCTATTCTCTTATTAAATGCAAATCTTACCTATACTGCATAGAGATTCAGCAACAGCTAATGCAAGACTTTCAGTAGACTGTTCACTACACCTTTTAACGGAATTTGTATCATCCGATTTATTTTCAACATCTTTGGGACTATGTTTAAAAGACACCTCTTTTTTTGGGCTAACATTCTCAGATATATCTATAAACATATTTTGTAATTAGAAGTACTTAATAATTACAAAATATGTTTATAGATCTGAATATTTTTGTTTTGTTTTTTATTTTGTAGATTATGGTGAATGATTTTTTAAGTACTGAATCAGTTATTGTATATCAGTAATGCAATATAAAGTCTTAAATTATATAGGCTTGGTGTATTCTTCGTTGGTACAAACATTGTAGAATACCGACTAAACAAATACACGAGTTTAAATAGCGAGTAATAAAAGTATTAATAAGCGCAATAATTTGTGAAAATTAAAAATTAAAATCTTTTGATATCTCCAGAAGGTTGCAGTAAAGGTTATTATAATTTATTACTCGAGCTAATATTAGTAATATCACGCCGCGTGTCGGGTGCTTCAACTACGGTAGCGATCATAGTTTTATGCACCGGTTCTGCTAGTTAGGATATGACTAGCCCTAAACGGCTAGACTGAATAATTTTCCTTTAATCGCTACAGAGTGATTTGGTACCTATTCTTAAGTTATTTGGACCTATTCTGAAGTGATATAATTTAATTGAAATCAAAAATGTTTTTGTATTGCTCTATTATTACTATATTATTATGAGTTGACATGATTTAATTAAAAATATGCAGGGTGGTTCGACCTGTAATCCGGAAACTTCAGCAGCATATCGATATTATCAGTACCTGTCATCATTGACATAAATTAAACATGTTGACTAAATAGTTATTAGAATGAAATTGTAAATTTAAAATGTTTTTGTGCCAAATGTTCAACATAAACTGTTTTATCATAATTTTTTTAAGAAGAAATTATGAAGAATAAAAATTTCCCAAATTTATCATTTTTGTCAAATAACTTAATGACATGTATTAACTATTTCAATTCTAAATATCTTGAGAATGGTTAATCGTAGCGATTTATACCAAGAGACATTTTTTACGTAAGAAATCACGGAAATGTATATTCTTTATCTCCGTAGTTTTATACAGGTACGGACTTAATAATAACTTGACGTTAACGTTTACAAACTTAATAATTATGACTATTCTTAGTTCCCAGTAGTTAGTACACAGAAAAAAAAATCGGGGGTGTTTGGGAAGGAAAAGTATATTAATACTTTTATTACTCGTCTGTATGTCTTAGTGATGGCGGTTGGAATTGCCATGAATGTTTGTAGGCATATGGATTAATATATGTTTTGGTGTCTGAAGAAGCGACAATAAAGTCGCAAAACGTCGCAAAAATATTGTTTCCCTTTCTAGCCTTCCCAAACACCCACGATTTTCTTTTCTGCGGACTTAATAATAATTTATTATTCCTCAAAACAGTTAAAATACATGTAGGTGGTGCCCCCTACAAATATGAGTCATATTGATATCAAAATCCAAATTTATCATATCAAAAAACTCCCAGATACCAATTTTCATCCATATATTGACCTTACTTATTATTTGGAAAAAATCGAAATAAAAATGAAACTTCTACACCCTGTATCTCCGAAACTAAGCATTTTAGGACATACATTTATAAGAACTTTTTTACATATTTTTATCTGCAAAATATGCTGCCGACGTTTCCGGAATACAGTTCGGACCACTCTGTATATTACTTATTTTAACAAATTATTATATACAGGGTGAGTTTTCTACAATGTTCTCTATGGGTATCTCGGAAACTACTGGAGATAGAGAGTCGGTTAAATAGGGAAAGAATTACAGTTTTGTGGGGATATAAATACGAGCCTTTCAGATTTTTGAAAAAGTTCTTGGCTTACTAGATATTTCGAAAAAACAAATTTCGGCCATTTTAAAAATGATCCCTAATTCTATTATAATCGATTTTAGATAAAAGTTGTAGAGCCTGTCGTTTTTGACATATGACACAAACATATGTTTTTTTTTTAAATGGAAACGATAGTTGGCCATGACTTTATAAAAAGTGCCATTTTTTAAGCTTTTCAGCGATATAAGCTATAATATGTTTTTTTTTCGAAAAATTACTGAGTTATAGCCAATTCTTATTTTTCATGACTAATTTCACTTAATTGGCATGTTATTCTTATTGTGTTATTTATTTAATTATAATAATTTTTTATAGTTATAATAGTTTCTTTTGCGATTTACATTACACAAACTAAAACTTAAAAAAAATAATATCCCTTCATACTTATATATTTTAATGCCGTACAAAAATGTGAAATATTCGATTGAAATGCACCAAGCCTAGAAGTAGAAAATGCAATATAAGTGCAATGCCGTTTTTACCTAAAAAATGCGAATACAATCCACTAACAAGAATTTGCATCAACACAGAATTACTAACTGGCAATATGTCTGAAGGTATAACTTCCTGAAATAAACTGGTTACCCGAATTAGACTGGAATCTAAAAAATAATAAATTAGGTTAAAAAAACTCAAAACATATAATTTAACCTATAACATCCCAAAATTGACTCAAACAAGCTATTAGGAGCGACATAGCTTGATACATGGTTGCACCTGTTTGCAAAGCATTTATTACAGTTTCCGCTACTAAAGGTAAAACAGGAGATGCTAAGTTTAAAATGGCCTCATACCAGGAATATCTAATTTGATTCCAAACCTAAAAATGTTGAAACAATTTACTTAGAAATAGTTTAGAATATAATGTCGTTATTATATTTATTATTGTCATCGCTTTTTTGAGCCATCCTATCAAATTTAAAATATTTTTCTGAAATACATCCTAATATATACTTTCTCCTGTAGCACAGCAATATAGGTAAAATATTATATGAACAAGAAAGAAATAGTGAGGGAAATGTATAAAAAAGAAGAAAAATATTAAACGGCTCAGCCCTCAACAACTCGCAACCGTATACACCAGTGTACACCAGTGCAGACACGCACACTCACATACTCACACAACCACACACCTACACTAGTGTGCACTGATGTTACTGCCTTCAGGCTTCATCAGTACGGTAAGGAACCAGGAAGCGATGAAACCGATCCCAAAACACAAAAAACCAGGAAGCAAACGATGCAACGAGGCACCGTGTGCAACCCAGGAGATGGAAAAAAATTGATGAAGAAACGAAAATAAATGATGGAAAATAAAAAGGAGCAAACGGGAGCCTAAAACCCCAATTTGTAGCCAAGAAAAGAAGCTTTAGGCTCCCGTTTGCTCCTTTTTATTTTCCATCATTTATTTTCGTTTCATCGTCAATTTTTTTTCCATCTCCTGGGCCCGAATTCTGTAACTTTGACATAAAAACGTTACGCTTTCAAAGCGGTGAGCGAAAGTATGCGATAAGCGGAACGTCAAGCAGTCGATTTTGGTATTCTCGTTGCTGTGCGAATCGTTTTCTGGATACCCGTTGAGCACATATTGACAGCATCGTAATTTCGCAGGTATCTAATAGTCAAATGTGACTAAAACAATGAAAAATGTCAATGTTACGTGAATTTTATAACCTATTGTTGAGTTATGTCAACCTATTTTTCTATGGATATGTCATTATTCTTATTATACGAGGGATATGTTGAAGACGCTTCTCAGCATTTTCGATGTTTTGAACAATATTTATAGCTACCAACTTGTAATTTGTCGATTACTTATTTAGGAATTTATAGAACAAGTAGTAGTTTTCACTAAAGAGCAAGATAACGCACGAAATCACAATTTTTTCGATTTTCACTGACAGTTCGACAAGCAAAACGATCCTTTAAGGCAACCGTTTTCAAAGCGCTTAGCGCAATCAGTAAAGACGCTAAGCGCGTCAGACGAGTTTGGGTATTAATCGTTAGTTAAGTGCGCGCTCAGCAAAAATTAACGTCATATACGCTGAGCGTCTAAAAGCGCTTAGCGTTTTCTACGTTACAGAATTCGGGCCCTGGGTTGCACACGGTGCCTCGTTGCATCGTTTGCTTCCTGGTTTTTTGTGTTTTGGGATCGGTTTCATCGCTTCCTGGTTCCTTACCGTACTGATGAAGCCTGAAGGCAGTAACATCAGTGTACACTAGTGTAGGTGTGTGGTTGTGTGAGTGTGTGAGTGTGCGTGTCTGCACTGGTGTACACTGGTGTATACGGTTGCGAGTTGTTGAGGGCTGAGCCGTTTAATATTTTTCTTCTTTAAAATATTATATTTACATATTGACCCAACCATGGACAGGTTTTTTTTAATAGCCAATACATATATTTTTTATATAAATCTGATATTAAAAATACGGTTAAAAGGTGCATATTCTATATAGATATAGAAAAATAGTATATCTTTTATATACAGGGTGAGCGTGCATTACAAGTTTCTACAGGACTATCGAGATCTAGATCGGAGATATCGGAAGAGTTGACAGCAACTTTCTTATTTTAAGTAGTACTATTTTTTATTACATACTTAAATTCTCTGGAAAATTTTATGAATTTTGATATCAATCAGTCTATATCTAACATTAACCGTAAAAAATATTTAAAGTTTTTGCCTGTCCGATAATTCCGAGATTTAGTTTAGCTCTGCGCCGCTGCGCGTTAATAGTCATTTACAGCACAGCGGATAAAGAATACTGTACCGTAGTTCTGCTTCCAGTCGACAGATTGAGTGCTTGCCGGAAATAATGTTGCCAGAACTACAGATTAGTCTGTAGATTTAAAGATTTTGAGTACAGTATGTTATTTATCCGGATTTTCTATCATTAAACAATTTAATATAATATTTTATGATTAAAGAAATAACGGCGTCAGTTGTTGACTTGGAAATGAAGATCGCTGTTATTTCATATGTAAAATATTATGGCAAATGTCAATAATCGTCATTGCCAAGCCAACTAAACGACTTTTTTTTTTGGATCATACAACATATTCAGTGGCTCTAAAAGAATTTTTATTTTTGTTGTTTATTCTATGTTTAACACGAATACATTTTCAATATATAAACGCGGATTTTACATTCAAAGATATTTTCGTTAAACGTATATTACAGATATTACACATTTTAATATGGCAACACTGTCGCTTTCAGATCCCCGCCGTATTCGCTATGCCTTCGCTGGCCAAATTAGAGAAAATAAGTGTTTTATACGTTGACCGCAGAACGTTTGGTGTCTGCACGGTACAGCACTTGAGACGTAAGTGGAAATCAAATCAGCCTGATCACGAATTCGCCCATTAGGTTGCGTATCTTCCCAATTATTTCAATCAACGGTACTACCATTAAATAACATTTCTGAATAGTTTGTCTCTCGCGATGCCAATTAGTTAGACTAAATATTTAATCTGAGGTTGTACTTACATGTCGCCTCTCAAAACACTTTGCCCAGTTAGGCTGCTGCGAAATAGTTTCTATTAAAACATTGTTAAGTTCCTTATCGTTTCCTATGTGCAGTACAACCGATGTACACGCCATAATTAAGTCATGGTAATGTTTCGTATTCATTACTAATTGCGTAGACTCGATATTTTTACAACTTCCGTCAGCCGGACATAAAAAGTTTCCACAATCGGTCGCCTTTTGGGATGTTTTCTTAAGTTCTATATTTGTCATGTCTGATAATGTTCGTAAAATAACTTGCAATATTTTAAAGTTTCTTCGGCAGAGAACCTGAAAATGGTAAAAAGTTAGAATAACAGTTAGCCGATCATACCTACATATGTATATTATAGCATCGTTTATATACTTTCAAAAGCAAAGCCCAGTTAGGTTGAGGTTGTGCTAGTAAAACCATTAATTCTAAAGCTAAACAGGTCTGGTCGTCTAAATCGCTCATACTTTTAATAGGATTGGTGATATTTTTGAAGATGTTTGGCAGTCCATAAATAATCCAGGGGTCTATATTATTTGTATTTATTTTATACAAATCTATATCTTCTTGGTTCTTTCTAAATACCTGGGAAATTTAAATAAAAAAATATACACTCAGATGCAAAAAAACGCAACGAAGAAATTTTGGGTCAAATATTTAAAGTGTTATATTTTTTTATTTTTAGCCCTATTTTCATGTATTTATTAGCAAACTGTATGCCCTCTAAATTTTTTATTTTTTTAGTTAAAAAATCGAGATTTGGTACGTTAGTATATGACATAAATTAGGATTGATTGATGTATTCAATTGTTTTCGGCCACTTCCGGTTTCACCGGAAATGACTACAACTTTTGATTTTTAAATGGCACCCCCGGTATTTTTTACTTTATTCGATAGAAAATGTCACTCTGAATAGAATGACATATCATATGTCAACTTTTGACATTTTCGCATATGGTTTATTTGAAATTATAACTTGCGGTTCGTAAAGAAAATTTGACTTCAAATACCAAGTGTGTGGTATCAAATTATTCGTAAAAAAAATGCTTTTTCCAAATATGCTAATCAGCTACCCTCGTTCCATTTGAAAATATTGAGATACGATTAAAAATACGATTTGAGCATTTTCTAATTGGCCAGGACAAGACACTAAAAACATTAGACGATCAAATCTGTTTTTCCAAGGCTCCTTGATGAAGAATTAGTGTTTTTAACATACACATGGCACTCTAGATTGAATTTAAAAAAAAAAAAAATTTAAGCGAGAATATCAAAAGTTGACATATGATATGTCATTCTATTAAGAATGTCATTTTCTATCGAATAAAGTAAAAAAAATACCGAGGGTACCATTTAAAAATCAAAAGTTGTAGTCATTTCCGGTAAAACAGGAAGTGACCAAAAACAATTGAACATACCAATCAATCCTAATTTATGTCATATACAAAATCTCGTTTTTTATCTGAAAAAATAAAAAAGTTATAGGGGGTGAGCCAATTTTGAGACGCATCCGGTATAATTATTTCAACTTCAATTCGTAAACTCAGTTTTTTTATAAACTTTAGTATTTGGCATATTATACAGGGTTAATGAAGGGGTTGTTTTTACCCTAATTTTAAAACACCCTGTGCAATAATTTCGTCTGTAAATTTTTCTAAAATATAATTTTACGGTGAGAACCATGTCTCCTGAGCATTTTGTTTTTTGGATAATGTCAATGTCAATACACGCCTTGGTTAATTTTTAAGGGCAAAATGAATTTGGTAAAACTATTTGTTACACGCCAAAAACTATTTTTTACTTGTAACAAATAGTTTTTTACGTGTAACAAATAGTTTTTTAACGCGTAAAAAATAGTTTTTACCAGTAACAAATAGTTTTATAAGCGTAAAAATATTTTTTTACGTGTAACAAATAGTTTTATATGCGTAAAAATTTAATAAACAATTCACTCGCAAATACACGTCGCGTCACTGCGTATTTCTAAGACAGTACAGAGATGCAGTTTAACCAGTATGGGTCCCACTGGTATAAGATTACTACACGAACTTTGTCAAACTATTTGGCACACAGGACATTGGTCAAGTGACTGGTACACTTCCGTAATCATCCCGCTACACAAAAAAGGCACCACAAAAGATTGCAATAATTACAGACTGATTGCACTACTCTCCCATGGCAACAAAATTATGCTATACATACTCAAGCAAAGGCTATCGAACTACATAACTTGGCAACTTGCACCCGAACAAGCCGGCTTTGTGAAGGAGAGAGGAACTCGAGAGCAAATACTAAACCTTCGCCCCCCAGCTAATAGAAAAATCTCGAGAATACTACACGCCTATGTATTTATGCTTTGTGGATTACGAAAAGGCCTTCGATAACGTATGTTGGGGACAATTATGGAGTATAATGTCTGAAATGGGAGTACCACAACATCTTGTAGAGATAATAAAAGGTCTATACGATAGCAACCAAGCAGTCGTGAAGTTGGATGAAGTATTTCCGATATTTGTCAAATAAGGAAAGGAGTACGTCATTGTTGCGTGTTGTCCCCGATGCTGTTTAACATTTACAGCGAATACATTATGAGAATTGTGCTAGAAAAATGGACAGGGGGTGTATCATTGAATGGCTACAAGATATCAAACCTACGTTTTGCTGATGACACGGTATTGGTAACCGCCAGCCAGCTGGAACTGAGAACAATTCTAACAAGATTGGAAACTACCAGTAGAGAGTTCGGCCTTCGCATCAATTACAGAAAGACTAAGGTGATGATCGTAGATCGCGAAAACAACAACTGCCCAGACATCACAAACATAGATCGCTGCGAAGTTGTGCAACAATTTATTTATTTAGGTGCACTTATATCTAATACCGATAGTTGCGAAATGAAAATAAGCCACAGAATTCAACTGGGCCGTAACGCTATGACGCAGCTCACGAAAGTTTGGTCGAATAGTCACATAACACAATCGACAAAAATCAATCTTGTAAATAGTCTTGTCTTTCCGGTTATGCTTTATGCTTCTGAGACATGGACACTGTTGGCAGCCGACAGACGACGCATTGACGCCTTCGAGATGTGGTGCTGGAGGAGGATGTTGCGAATACCATGGACAGCACATCGCACCAATGTGTCGGTCCTTAATGCAATCTAATTACCACAAAGACTTTCCAGCACTGTTTATAAACGCATCCTTTCCTTCTTCGGTCACGTCAACAGGATCGGGCATATGGAGAGACTCGTAGTGCAGGGAAGACCTGCAGGATCCCGCCGCCGAGGAAGATCGCCAACCAGGTGGGTGGACATGGTCGAAAAATTTATGAATACCAACCTGGAGGGTGCCGTTTGAAGAACTGAAAACAGAGAAAATTGGAGACGGGCGGTGCGTGCGGCCGTCAGGTCCTTAGAGCCAGAACCAGAGCCACTACACGTCGTACGCGACGTACAGACTTAGACGACGACGACAGAGATGCAGTTTGGGCAATTATGACAAAGTTCGGAGTACCCAACAAATTTCTTACAGTGTGTAAAAGCCTCCATAACAACAATAACTCAAGAGTGTCACATCATGGATCAGGGAGCGATCCTTCCTAACAAATATAGGAGTTAAGCAGGGATGTGTCTTAGCTCCTTTCCTATTCAACATATTCATGGCAGCGCTCTCCATTAGTGGACAGGAAACTGCAGGAGAGATGATTGGGCATCAGATACCGATACGACGGCGCCGGCGCGGCGGTCTGTTCAACATAAAAAAAGACTCAGGCTGAAAACACGTACAAAATTCATCGTTACCTGGGCATACGAGGCTTTGGGCCTTAAGCTAAACATCGACGAAACTAAAATCATGTGCACTCCCCCGGAAGATCACAACAATGCTACAGAAATCGGAGAAAAGCTACTGGAATATGTATATTCAATTACCTCGGCAGTTTGATTTCGGAAAAGACCAATATCGACTCTGAAATTCAGCACTGGATTAGCAGCGCCTCAAGAGTATTCTGGAAAGTAAAAGACAAGGTTTTCTACTATCATGACTTGAGCACAAAAACGAAACTTACAGTGTACCGAGCAGTAATAATCTCCACCATGTAATATGGGAGCGAAACCTGGGTGGCCGTACTGTCGACACATGGAACGATGAACGCATTAAACAAGCTTCAACAGAGACACCTTTCACAACTTTTAAAAATCAAATGGTTCCATCATGTCTCAAACGTATCGGTCCTTGAAAAAGCTTACTGCGAGAGTATTGAAGTCATGGTTACAAAATCCCGACTAAGATGGGCTGGTTACGTATGCAGAATAAGTAAGAGGAGGCCAGGCGAACAACTCAAAAGGTACAAGGACATCTTCCATGAAAACTTTTAAAGGGGATTATCATACTAAATGAGTAGGAAGAAGCAGCTCACAATAGAACTCAATGGAGAAGAATTGTAAACTCAGTTAACAGTGACAACCAAAAAGTTAAGAGGCAACAAAGCAATGAGATTTTTGAATGTCCGGAGTGCGGTAGACAGATAACATCACGTATCGGGCTTTTCAGTCATAGAATAGCTCATGAAATAAAACGCCTTGTGTAACCATCTTTTGATGCGTGTCAAATACTCGTCAGCGAGTAATGGCAGTAAGTAATTTCTAAAACATAGGTTGGTCTTACCACTTTTCGTTAGCTTGTGTGTCACGGCCTTGAATTTTACTCCCAGCTCGCGTAAAGAAGTTTCACTTCAAAAATAACACACAAAAAACATGAGAGCTTATTAAGCATTTAAAACTTATAAAGTAACTTTTAATTTCAAATAATATTAAGCATATTCAACTATATATCACATCTTTTATTATATTCAAATGCATAAAAAAATCGATCTAGTTTACCGATCTCACCTTGTGAAGTGTATCTAATGGCGCCCCTCTTAGAAGAAAACAACAAAACAAATCGTGACATTTTACATGAATGTCGCGCAAAATTTTGCTCTTATTGCTCCCCGGCAAGCCAATAAATTCTTCAGCGGAGTCGCAAATAGATGGAAGTAGTTGAGCAACGCATAAAAGCAAATTGCTGATGTCAACTAAAAGTAATTCACTTCTTGCCTCCGAAGGTGAACTCTGGAAATGAAAAATAATATGTAATTTATATGAAATATTGAATGTGAATACATCCGACAAAAAATGTCATGCAAAGACGACTATAATAAGATTACTAGGGATAAGTTTTTCTTTAAAAATCAAATAAAAATGTATATATCTTGTTTTATACATTTAGTCTCAGGGATGTGATAAAAGCCAGTATCTGAGACGGTTTTACAGAAGTCAGTTCTCCATCTCCGATATCAGTCGTTTTCAAACTTTATGTCACGAATGGTTTTCGTCTCGGCGCACTGATGAGGGCTTCTGCTGTTTCCCCATTTTCCCCAATGCATTTTTATTCGCCGTTGTTTCTTAGATTCAATCTACTGAGGTATTCGTTGAGGAGACAGTACCCTGTTAAAAATCCCGTGACAATCCGAAGATTGTTGTTACTTAAATCAAGGAAAATTTTAGATTTCGGAGAAATTTCTTCGAGTGTCTTAGGTCGTTGGAGGATTCCCATTCCAGGTTACGGATTTAGTCTTCCAGTATATTGAGATCCGCTTTAAGTTGGTTTCCACTCGAGAAGCAGAATGGTTCTGGTCTAGTTAGTAAAGTGTTCGCTCCTTTTTTAGCTAGATCGTTTGCTTTTTCACTATCTTACTATCCCTTGGTCGGTCGGCACCCAGAGTAGGAGGACTTTGTTATAAGTATAATATTTAGTTCAATTATTATTCAAATTTGTTATGTTTAATAAATATTCTAGGCCTACTTTAAACAAAGACTAAATAAAGTGCTAACACTGTACAGGGTGGGTCAAATTCGACGCTTTTAAATGGAAACACTCTTTTCTATAGGAGATAGACAAAAACTAATATCGGTGTCTGGAGCTTAATTTTTGTCAAAAACATGATGGTGAAAACCGCATATCGATATCTGTTACGGTTTCGGAGTTACGGGGTGTTTTTCAAAAATATGCATTTTTAACAAATCGCTGTAACTTTTTTGCTATGGAAAATTTTGTTTTTTTATGAAAACATTTCCAAAGCACCTTTTTACGTAGAATTTTAAGTTTAAGTTTTATAATGGTTAGGTTTTTTAATGTTTTAAGTATAATTTTTTTAAAATTAATAATTTAAGAATTATCAACAGAAAATTTGATTTTTTATATGGGACACCCTGTATATTTTTAATTTATTGAAAAGAATTTAAGAATTTAAAATTAGCTTTCCACAAATATAACACACTTGATATTTTGCTGAATTCCTCTTCGAGATATAGAGTATATAAGAAGTCGCCCTCTTTAAATAAGTAGGCTTTGAACGGCACCGGCTGTAATGCAAAAAAATTCTAGCTGTGAGCATCAATTAAAACGAAAATAATATTTGCTATGAGGGATGCAGAATTTTATAACAATTTAAAATATATTTAATCAACATCAACACATTTAAACTATATCTAATAACAATAAAAATAAATAGCAAACCAATACATGAGATTTTGCTACAGGTGTTCGACATATCGACCGTTTTCTATTATGGACAGACGTTATGGGTCAGTTTTTGAACATTTCTCGCGGAATTCATTAACTCGGTGGGGGTGAAAGATAACTATATCATAACTGCTAAGTATTTTTATTTCTTGTCTAGATTATGTGGAAGAATAAGGAACCTTTATTATTCCGCAAATATATCCATAGGATTATATCCATGGGCACTAAGTTAGGCGGCCTCGACGGCCAATGGCTGGGATCTTGGTTAGCTATTCAATTATTCTTGAAATTGGCTGCAAAAATTTGCCGATAACTTCAGCGTTCAGAGGCGGTGCGTCGTCTTGCTGTAAATATAATGTTTTCGAGTTCCATTAAGGGCATATCATCAATAAGGGGTCCAAAGCCTACTAGTTAAAAGTGGCGAACTGTTAAAAATTCTGTATTTCGAAGGGGATTATAACAAAATATCAAGTGTGCTATATTTTTGGAAAGGTAATTTTAAATTCTTTTCAGCTAATTAAAAATATAGAGGGTGTCCCAAATAAAAAATCAATTTTTCTGTTGATAAGTCTTAAATTATTAATTTTAAAAAAATTATACTTAAACCATTAAATTCTACGTAAAAAGGTGCTTTGGAAATGTTTTAATAGAAATACAAAATTTTTCATAGCAAAAAAGTTGCATCGATTTGTTAAAAATGCATATTTTTGAAAAACTCCGAAAACCGTAACTCCGAAACGGCAACAGATATCGATGTGCGGTTTTCACCATCATGTTTTTGATGAAAATTGAGCTCAGACACCGATATTAGTTTTCGTCTATCTCCTATAGAAAAGGGTGTTTTCATTTAAAAGCGTCGAATTTGACCCACCCTGTACAGTTTGTAACACTCGAGGTAACACTATTATTGTTGCGCATGTTATTTTAATTAGAATATTGCTGATTAATATTTATGTCACTAACAACAACCATAATAAATGTTGTTATCCAATACTATTAATTTTTTATAATATCTATTTATAAAATACATATTTTGGCAACCTGTGTATATCTGACAGTTAATATTGTCAATGATTCATTCAGCATTCCTGAGAAAACTCTTTGTGCCATTTTTGGAGGTACTGTGGTCCAAAGATCTTCTCGAGTACCTAAAATTGAAATAATTTAGAAAAGAGTGACTTTATTTCTAATTAAAAAAAAAATGACAAAGCGAATGAAAATGTGAAATGAATTGGTTGAAATAGTGCATTCTAGCCTCGGCTACCCTACTCAAATTGAATCAATTATTAATGCCCCAAACTACATTTTTTTCTTAAGAAACTGTCTTGTTGTACGGTAGTAGAATTATATTTTGCTATACGTAATACCACAGATGTGGTAATACATATAAAGAAAATTAATAGACTTTTTTACGGTTTAGTTTTTTATATTATGACTTATTATTGTTCACTATTTTAAGTTTTATAGTTCGTATTTTAATCAAACACGCCTTCTAGAGATGTATCAAAATTTAATAATAGTAACTTCAACCGACTTTTTTGTGATGCCGGGTACATAGGCCCCACAGGTAGAAATTTAGATATTCGGATTGAAGACCATAAAAAATCTATTGATAATCTCCAGCAAAGTTCCGGTCTAGCAACTCATTGTAAATTAAATAGTCACACAATTAATGAAAACTCAATTAAATTATTACATAGGGAAACGAAAGGCAGACGCTCAAATTACCTAGAATAGTTAGAAATATTAAAATCAGCTAAAAACGACAATAATGTAAAAGACCAACAAGGATTTCTAAACCAATTTTTTTTACCCCATTGTAAACTCTTTAAACCCATTACCATAGCAAATATATTAAACCTTATACCCTTAAAATTTAGGCAGACGATTAGTATTAAAAAACTCTAGAAAAAGGCCTAAGAAGCTGAAACATATGTAGAGTTAAAGTTAGGTACTCACTGAAAAAACTAATGATTCCGCGCATTTGCCAAGGGAGACTTCTTAAATTCAATAGCACTGCTTTTGTACCAAACAAAACCACTGCAATTGAGGTAAATTCACCATGCATTTGTCTTGTTGTGCCTTTCAGGCAAATGAATGACTTTCAGGTCAAATTTAAGAGTTTCAAATTAAAATCCCTGCTTTTTTGGCAAATCGGATTTTAGCAGAAAATTATTGCATTTGGGCCAAATTTTGCGTGGATTCAACTTACTCCTTTCATTGGAATTATATGCTTTTATCTCCAATATCAAACCTTTCAGCTGAAAGCCATGCTTTTGGTAGCAAGTCAGCGCTCTTGGCACAAGTAGGCATTGTTGCCTATATTTGCATCGTGACGCGATCAACCTTTTACGTGCGTGTTAGTATTAGTATTAGTATCATCGGTCCCTTTGAACAACCAGCAAGTGGAGAGAAGAATTTTTGGCCAAGTGGCGCCTAGAACATTTGCTATCATCATTTCAAGGTACGTAGAAACAATAAGGCGTTGTTTGATTTTGTTTATGCATGATTTCCTAAGAGGATCTATATAAAAATAAATAAACAATGGGTGGAATAAACAAAGATAACGTGGTAAAAGATTTTGCTTAAATTTCTGGAAATAGACTTATAAACAGTTTATAAACAACAAACAAAGAGAGTACAAAGAAGCATTTACTATTTACTTTGTTTTTTTTTTCATATTTTACCCATTGTTGGTTGTACTTTTGACTATTCAATCACGGCATGAATGTTAAAAAAATATGACGCATTATAAAGCCACGACCTACAATTGGGTTATAGATGATTTTTACATAAATTCACATTGGCAGCACAGTATAATAATACTATTATAGCACTGTGTTGGTTACAGTTTATTTATTTAGAGAAATAAATAAAAGTATCTTGGAAAATTCCTGATTTCATCAGAAAGAACTACAGACAATAAGTTGGTGATGGACGTCCATCTTTTTTCACCTGAAATCCTTCGTGTTCTTAGACTAAATGCGCGAGCATTTATAGCAAATGCTAAATATTTCATTAAAATTGAACCAAATTTTTTTATCAGCTCTTGTTCATATTTTGTATTTTGAATGTCTTGTGGGTAAAATATGCTTTGTTTTCTTGCAGAGCAAAATATCGGCGGAATCGATGTAATAAAGTGCCTTTCACAAGAAGAAGTGAGCATTCTAGTAAATACTGTTCTAGGGGACAAAATCAAATTAATCAAAGCTACACTGATAAAAAAGATAGATTTGAACTAAAGTCGTCATCGTTCTTGAAAAAAAAATTTAGTGGCAAGAGAATTTATTTTACCGCAAAAGAAAATATTTTGCCTGAAGAAAAACTCTCTTAACTCAAGAAAACTGGTTTTCTTGAAAAATTCGAAAATATCTCTTGAATCTATTTTCATTAAACCAAGTGCAAGTTACTTTGTTTTAAGATAATAACAAAAATACGCTAGGAAGTACTTCACTCAAGAAACATGGCCATTTTTCCAATAGCTAAATACTCTTTTGATGAAAAATAATAACGACACGCAAAGACGATGACGAAGGACGGTATATACAATCAGTCGGCAGTCCGATCAGTCGTACGTCGCATTTCATAGGTCGCACATCATAGTACGCACGGGTTTTGTTGCTTGGAATTTTGCATAATTTGCTTTTTAAACGCATATCGTATAACAAATTAGTGATCGTTATTAACATGCATTTGTCATTTTTTATGGACAAATTTTAGGATATATGGATTCTTTAAAGGAGTTTCTGAAAAAATGGAAATTAGAGCATTTATTTGCTATATTTGAAGGTAAGAGACATTTACCTAAATTTTAGATAATGCATGCCTGACTATAGATAGAATAAGAATATAGGTATATCGATTTTTTTATGCAAATAATTACAAAAATTTTAGAATTTCAAGTCGTATTAAAAAATTCAAAATGTGACCAAAGCTTATAATTTTAATAATTTGTTTGCTTTACTTTTATTAATCGTGATGTAACATTTTTTTGTAATTTGTAGAGTGATGAACCACCCCAAAAAATACCAAGGAGTGAAGAAGCAGAAATAACTACTATCGAGGAAAATAATATCACTTTACTTACTACAGACCAGGAAAACCTAAATTTATCAGAAAATAATATACCTCGTAATATGCCTGTATATGATGTATAGACTTCTTTTAGATCAAAATAAATTTTAGTTGAGTCAATGGTATTCGCTATTGGTTTAAGAAAAGTGTCTTTTTAATCAAGAAATGTCCCTTTTCAATCAAGGATTTTTGCATGAATCAAAGAGACTATTTTTCTTGTAGCAAGAATTTCTTTGCATAGTAATTTTGGGTCAAGAAATATTATATATAGGGTGAAATACTTTGGATAGATAAATGGAAATATATATGGGGGTGAAATACTTTGGATAGATAGATTCTTCTATTCTCTAAAGTAATTTTTTAAAGCTTATGAAAAGATAGTTAATGCTTTGGGTAAAGAAACGTCGTTCTTGGCCCTATTGAAAAGTACCAATCTTTTGGGTCAAAGTCATATTCATATCGACTGAGAGTCCTTTTTTTCAGTGTATTGAAAGTTTGAAAGTAATAAATGAAGTATCCATCAGCCATCATCAACTTGATGAAAACAGTGATGTAAATGATATATATTAGTTTTGTTTATTTCAAATATCAACTTAAAATGTTCTTTTATTTTTAGTATAAGTTATCTTTAAAAAAAGTTTTATTTTTGTTAAACAAAGATACATCCAAATAAGCAATAAAAATATTTCCAAAATTTTGTATTATTTTTAAATTTACCCTAACCCAAACCATAGTCAATTTTTAATTCAAATATATTTGCTGCAAATAATTGATATTGTTGTGTACTTAATTAGGTATAAATAACGTCACATACACTCAAATAACACTTATTTGCAAATATATTTGAAAGAAAAATTGACTGTGTATGATTCGGGTTAAAGTGAATATTTGCAACAAATTCCCAGTGCTTTAGTTACAAAAACCACAGTGCCTTTGTTATAAATTCGCAATGATTTTGTCGCAAATTTCCACGATGTTATTACAAATTCGAAGTGCTTTTGTCACAAATTCGCAGTGTTTTATCAGAAATTCGAAGTGCTTTTATCGCAAATTCGCAGTACTTCATAACAAAGTTGAAGTGCTTCTGCCGTAAATTCGCAGAGTTTTGATAATGGTCTTTGAAGACTTTGGTATGAAGTCATGCAAATTGCAATACTTTCAAGATAAGATTGTAGTCATTGCAACCAGCGATTCTAAAGCGTTTATCCCAAATGCATCTTGAAATTATCCCAATTGAACCATATATCAAGAGCATGGCGAAATTGGTTCAAGTGCGTTCGCCCTTGGGCCGATAGATTTGTTTTTTCAGTGCTCTTATTACATTCTGATGCATCTAAAAGCGTGTTTTATTAAAATACTAATATTTCAAAGAACCATCCACATACTCAGTACTATGCCCCCCCATTTTATTGATTCTAAAAACCTACTATGCCTTTTGACTAACCTTGCATATACAGCCACCACATCTGTATTATATACGACCCTCTTTCAGATTCAAAAAACGCCTTTGTGTTTTCCCAATCTAAACAATCAGAATCTTGTAGAATGTATAAAGACAACAATCTACAGTGCAAATCTAAGAGACGCTCAGCTAAAGCTTCACACATTTCATTATATTTTTTGTATCCTGAAATTTAAACATAATTTTCAAATCCCACACTTAACAAAAAACCTGATTATTAAGTAATATACTAACCCGTTTGAAGGAGTTCTGTAGAAGTCTTTGTATCTTTTAAAAGTTGTATATAAAACCAAAGACAATTTTTTAATAATGCTGCGGCACCAATTGTACCTGTTGATATAGTTCAAAAATAATATTTGAATAAACCTTATTTATTGAGTATTAAATATTTACCGGTTAATACAGTTAGATCAGCATGATCCAGTGCTTCTTGAGTGAGTACATGAAGATGTTCTGTAAATTTATATCAACAATAATATTAAAAATTCAGCAATATTTTAAAAAGCCTGAATGAATATTGACATTCATTTACTTATTGTTCGTAGTAATACCTAATAATTGATCAGCTGATTTACTGACAGCCGAAATAAATTTAGTCGGATCAGAAGCCTTAACAATACCACCACAGCCTCCAAATGCTTCAATGCTACTTCTAGATGAACGTGAATCTTTTTGGAAAAAACCTATAAGATTTAAATAGTAAAAAAAAGAATTGCAACATAATATTACAACAAATAGTAATTTTGAAAATATAATAAATTCGTTGGAGATACTTAAATTTAATTAAAATTAAAATACTGACGTTTTCTTATAAAATAACGTATAAAAAATTTAATAAAAATCATTTAATGGAGAAATATTACATTTTGAACTATTAATAAAATAAAAATTGGCCAAATATTTTAAATCAAAATCTTCTTCATTAATTTCTTCAACTTTAAGTGTATTTTCTAACGTAATATTTTTGCTAAACCTTATACTGCCATCATTTTGATCGTATTAGACCCTACACTTACTATTAGAGTAGCAAGTAAGTAAGTAAGTAGACCCACACTTCAACTGTTGTGTTAATAGAGAGCATATACGATTTGGTAGTTGCTGAAAAGTATCGTAAATAATATTTTTACTTCCAGTATATAATTGCTATCGTAGGAGACCTCGATGACATATTTTTTCTACACTACCACATTCCATTTGGCAACTTGTCAACTGCCTAACAAAGTGTCAACTGCCTAACAAACATTGTTTTCAAAAAAATGATTTTGAGAAAACAAGGAAAAACAAACACAAAGAATATAGAATTTGGAGATGCCTACGTTAGGTATAATAATCATAAAGAAATGTTTGGACATATTGGATTTATAAATTAAATGGTATGTTATGCTCTTAATAGCATTTTTAAGGTAAACTGTCGATTTGAACCATATGTGGATTTGCCGCGTTTTGCAATTAAGTGAATTATTAGTTTTGTGTTGACAATGGGGTATAGCAGAGAATCTTTCTTGGTATGGTTATGCTTATGCGCAGTAGAGAATTCATTTCATCGATGAAAGAATCGTTTAGCGAACGATACAGGGTAGTTATTAAATAAGAGCAAATATTTTCAGGGCTGGTAGATCTCGATAAAATAAACATATTTTCTTTTGCCTCTCGCAACCGTTTTTTAAATAAGTCCAAAATAATCGAGTTATTCAAGTTTGAGAAGTTAAAAAAATAATTTATTTTTTAGAAATTTTGAGAGCCACCGGATTTTTCTGTATTTGCATCCCTTTTAGTGCCGTAAACATGTAGTAGGAGAGCTAGCAATATCGGAAAAACAAGTATTTTAAGACGTCTGGCTCTTTGATATATTTTTTACTATGCTCTCTAGAACAGCATGCGGCCCGTCTGGCTGCCGGTAAACGTTGCGTTTCCTACTGCGCATTGAAAGAAGAGTCTATAATTTTAGTAGTCCTTTAAATTCTAGTATTGAATATAAATCGAACATGTCTCCATAGCGCAGTGCGTAGAGTTTCCGACCACGAACCGATGATTCAGAGTTCGAATCCGGGTCAGGGCAAAGACTTTTTTATTTTATTTTCGTTTATATTCTGATAGTAAAGTATTAAATATTTGTTTTTTTAATTACCAGAATTATTTAATACTTTACTATCAGAATATAAACGAAAATAAAATAAAAAAGTCTTTGACCTGACCCGGATTCGAACTCTGAATCATCGGTTCGTGGTCAAAAGTCGCACTGCGCTACGGAGACATGTTCGATTTATATTCAATACTAGTATCCTTGTTTAAGGCTAGTATCCTTCTAGTATTTATAGGACTAAATTAATAAAAAATATAGGATCTTCTTTCGATGCACAGCAGTAGTAAACGCAACGGGTATCGGCAGCCAGACGGGCCGCATACTGTTTCAGAGAGCATAGTAAAAGTTATATCAAAGAGCCACGTCTTAAAATACTTTCTCGAAAATGTTGCTGCTCTTAGACTAATGGTAACATCGCATCGGTAACATCCTTTGAATAGAAAAGGTAACATCAGATATTAAGAAATTATACCCTGGGAAAATTTCCGCTGAACAGGCAGTTCTAAAAAGTTTTCTAAAATAAACAGGAAATCTTTTTTGCGCGAAAAAATCCTTATAGACTTAAAAATATCAGCACTTATTTAAGACTCACCCTGTATAAGTTAATCCTGATTTTTTTGGTTTGTTTAGGTAAGATAAGATTTTTCAATTGGAAAGCATTTTTTATCACGGTTACTATAATTTTTTAGAACTTTTAGGAATTAAATATGTTTTTTAGAGTTCTTTTATGTGACTACAATTATAGAGAATGTACTTCTAAGGTTTTCTAATCGATAATTATTTTCTAGTATTTTTCCCTTAAATATCTCTATTTTTATGGTTATTTTTATTTAATCTCCTTTTATTACCTACCTGACGGATTCTTATAAGCAGCAATATATTCGTCTTCCCACCAAATTACTAGTTTAACAGCTGCGAACGATGCAGATCTAGGAAAATCAAGTCTTCCTCCGATAATTCCTGGACAAATTGTTTCTTGCAGAACGGACTGTTTACTCTGTAAATAAAAGTTCCGCTAACTAAACTAATATTTGAACATTTATCTAAATTACTATTTTCTTTTAGAAAATGTTAGTTAGGAGGGGCAGAGATGTGTTGACCTATATAATAGGGTGCTACAAATTCGAGGTACAAGTATGGGTATCTCGGAAACCGTAATAGGTTAAATTGTGGCAAAATTACGCCTTGATGTTCACCAAGATGCCATCAAAAAAGTTTTAGAAATTTCAATGTTTGCTGAATTTTTTTGGAAAAAACGGATTTTTTTGAAAGCCAATTTTATTTTTTCCGTTACTTTTTAGAAAACCAAAAAACCAATTGCACATTCTCATAGCCACTTTATTAGGGCTTCATAGCCACTTTATAAGAGCTATCTTAGGGCTATTTTTTGACATGAGAAATTTGATTTTGATGTCATTATGACTCCTATTTGTAGAGGGCGCCACCTACATGTGTTTAAACTGTTTTAAAGAGTAATAAATTTTTTTCCGTACCTGTATAGAACTGCTGAGTGCAAAAATATACATTTTCGTATTTTTTTACGTAAAAAATGTCTCTTGGTAAAAATCGTTACGAGCAACCCTTCTCGAGATATTTAGAATGGGAATAGTCAATACATGTCATTATTGACAAAAAATAAACAGGTTGAGTAAACAGTTAATTGACTAAAAAGATAAATTTGGAAAAAATTTATTTTTTTAAATTAATCATAAAATTTTCTTCGAAAATATGATGATTGATGATGGTTTGGCACAAGAACATTTCAAATTTATAATTTCCATCTATTAACTATTTAGTCAACATATTTAATTTATGTCAATGATGACAGGTATTGATAATTTCGATTTCAAATATCTCGAGAACTATTACTCGTAGCGATTTTTATTAAGAGATCTTTTTCACGTTAAAAACGTCGAAAATGTATATTTTTTGAATTAGTAGTTTTAGACAGGTACGGACGAAAAGTTATTACTCTTCAAACCATTTAAAAATATGTAGGTGGCGCCCTCTACAAGTAGGAGCCATATTGATATCAAAATCAAATTTCTCATATCAGAAAACTCCCAGACACCAAATTTCATCCAAATATTGATGTTACTTAAGAAATTATTTGGAAAAAATCGAAATAAAAATGAAACTTCTACACCCTGTATCTCCGAAACTAAGCATTTTAGGTCATACATTTATACGGACTTTTTTACTTATTTTTATCTGCAGAATATGCTGCTGAAGTTTCCGGAATACAGTTCGGACCACTCTGTATAGGCCAACTTAATTTTTTTTTAAATAGGGACCTGCATTTTTTATACTTACTTATTTTAAATACGGACCTGCATTTTGTATTTCAGATTTTGAAATATCTCGGTCTCCCGAGTACAATGATATGCTACACTTTATACTTTTTTTTGTTTTGGGTACCTTAACAACAACAAAATTATTTAATTGTTATTTAAAATAATTTCAAGTCCAAGTCGATTTCGAGTTCGAGTCCGAGTCCTTTTTAAATTTAATCTAATTTTATTCACCCCCACAATATTGATCAGCGCTAATTAACATTGAATAAGAAAATTCGAGCCAATTGAAAGATTCAAATAAATAATATCCAGGTCAGCAATTTAAAGTTATTATTTTTACATTTTTTATTGTTAATTTGAAATCTCAGTGTACGATCTAATAATATGCATCATATTAATCGTAGTTATCGTAAATAAATCAACTTCTTCCATTGGCACTTAGAAAAACAGTCACCTAAAATCTCATTTAATTTGGAGTAACGGTTCTTAAAATATCTTAAAAAATGTGTTTATTTTTTTAAAGTTTGATGCCCTCTAGTGAACAAACGAAGCACTTTTGTATTGAGGTAAATTGTGTCCAATGAATATATTTCGATTCCAAAAATACGTACATACATACATATATACAGCCGTTACTCGCGGACGAGTATCCGACACCATAAAGAAGATGGTCACGCAAGGCGTTTTCTTTCATGAGCTTTTCTGTGACTGAAAAGCCTGATACGTGATGTTATCTGCCTACCGCACTCCGGAGCACTCCGGACATTCAAAAATCTCATTTCTTTGTTACCTCTTTACTTTTTGGTTGTCGCTGTTAACTGAGTTTATAACTCTTCTCCATTGAGTTCTATTGTGAGCTGCTTTTTCCCACTCATTCTGCATGTTAAGCCCCTTTAAGTTTTCGTGGAAAATGTCCTTGTACCTTTTCAGTTGTCCACCCGGCCTCCTCTTACCATCTACAAGCTCGCCGTAAAGCAGAGATTTTGGTATGCGGGTTTCTTGATTTCTGCATACGTGACCAGCCCATCTTAAGCGGGATTTTGTAACCATGACTTCAATACTCTCGCAGTTAGCTTTGTCAAGGACCGATACGTTTGAGACATGATGGAACCACCGGATTCTTAAGAGTTGTCTAAGGTGTCTCTGTTGCAACTTGTTTAATGCGTTCATGTGTCGGCGGTACGGCACCCAGGTTACACTCCCATATAACAATGTGGGGATTATAATTGCTCGGTACACTGCAAGTTTTGTTTTTGTACTCAAGTCATGATTGTAGAAAACCCTGTCTTTTAATTTCCAGAATGCTCTTGAGGCGCTACTAATCCTGTGCTGAATTTCAGAGTAAATATTGATTTTTTCCGAAATCAAACTGCCAAGGTAATTGAATTCCGTCACATATTCTAATAGTTCTTCTCCGATTTTTATAGCATTGTTATGATTTTCCGGGGGAGTGCACATGATTTTAGTTTTGTCGATGTTTAGCTTAAGGCCCAAAGCCTCGTATGCCTAGGTATATGTGTTCAACATTTCTTGTAATTTTTGTACCGTGTTTGCAACTAGAGCGCAATCGTCAGCGTATTGAAGTTCTGTGATGAATTTTGTACGTGTTTTTGCCCTGAGTCCTTTTATGTTGAACAGACCGCCGTTGTATCTGTATCTAATGCCCAATCCTCTCTCCTGCAGTATGCTGTCCACTATAATGGAGAGCGCTGCCATGAATATGTTGAATAGGAGAGGCGCTAAGACATATCCCTGCCTAACTCCTGTATTTGTTAGGAATGGGTCGCTCAGTGATCCATGATGTGACACTCTTGACTTGTTGTTATGGAGGCTTTTACACACTGTAAGAAATTTGTTGGGTATTCCGAACTTTTTCATAATTGCCCAAAGCGCATCTCTGTTCACAGACTCGAAGGCTTTTGTTAGATCGATGAATGCTACATAGAGTTTAGACTGCTGCTCTTTTACTTTTTCCTGTAGTTGACGGATGGAAAATATGGAATCGACGGTGCCGCGGTTGGTACGAAAACCCGTTTGCGATTCTGGAAGGATTTTTTCTATATATGGGTGCAGGCGGTTTGACATAATATTTGCAAGAATTTTTCCGCCGATAGCCAATAGTGAAATTCCCCGGTAATTTCCGCAGTCTGATGCACTTCCTTTGTTCTTAAATATATTCACTATATTCGCGTTGCGAAAGTCCTGAGGTACCTCTTCGCTTTCCCATACGACATCGAAGAGAGCCTTAAGATGACCAATAAGTTCTTTACTTGTACACTTATAGATTTCCGCCGAAATCGCGTCACAGCCAGCTGATTTGTTGTTTTTAAGCTGTTTTATGGAGGTCTTTATTTCCTGTTCTGTTATTGGGATGTCTAATACATTGAGGCTGTTATACTGAGGTATTTTGTTTAGTGCTTTTATATTGGGGTTGTTTTCTTGGTTAGGGATATGGCTGTAATGTTCTTTCCAGCGATTTCTGATTTGTTCTTCCTCTTTTAGAAGTTCGCCATTTTGTGCCATGATTGGGCAGTTTACTTTCTTAGTTGGACCGTATACTTCTTTTGCAGCCTCGAAAAATTTACGATAATCGTGATGCGTGGCGTACTCTTGAATCTGATTTGCTTTTTGTGACCACCAGTTATCCTTTACTTAGCGCAGTTCTCTTCGAAGCATGTTGTTGGCTGCTTTAAAGTTGTCTACCAGATTATGCGGATTTGCAGTGACTGCTTGATGTGCTCTATGCTTTTGTTCCAACAAAGCCTGTATATGCGGTTGATTTTCGTTAAACCAGTCTGGTTGTTTCTTTTTGTTCGACTTTCCCAGTACAGCTTCGCTGGTTTTATGAATCGCATCCCTTAATTCTGTCCAGCCTTGTTCAGCTTCCAAGATTGAGATTGAAGCTATCGGTGGAAGTGATTCTTTGATGGCTTCCCGGAGGGCGTCGATGGTATTGTTGTTCTCTAGACCCCGTACGTGCAATCTGGTCATGTTGTTTTGCTTTTTACAGTGTGGATGTTTGTGTTTTAACTGGATGTTCATTTTTGAAATTAAAAGTCGGTGGTCAGTGCCGCATTCGGAATCTATTATGGCTTTTGTGAGCCTAACATCTTTTAGATGCGTCCTTTGAACGATTATGTGGTCAAATTGATGCCAGTGGCCTGATCTAGGATGTTTCCAGGTACCTTTAAACTTGTCCTTCAACATAAACCACGTATTGGTGATGCAAAGATTATACTCTGCACATGTTGTTAATAAGCGTTTACCATTGCTATTTACGTTTCCCATTCCATGTTTTCTCAATACGTCAGGCCATATTTCCTGTTGTTTGCCAACACGGGCATTAACCAAAAATACGTAGTAGTTCTATGTCTACGGAATATTGGAAGACCCTGTATATTAGTAACTACCATTTCTACAAACATTAAATTCCTCTTTGAAAAGGCATTGTTAGTATGTCTGAGCTGCAGTATTTTTAGCAATATCAAAGATAATTTTCTACATAAAGGACAATATAAAACGGAAACTTCATCCAGCATTACTCCGTAAGCTGCAATCTTCAAAAGAACATTATTATGTTCGAATCGGTATTACAATAAAATCTGCCTGAATGTTATGGTATATTATTCAAAAAGTAATGGAGGTAATCCCTTTCAAATAAATGCATGAATAAATAAACAAAAATATCTGCCGTACCTTGTAATATTCTAAATCCCTTTGTATTAATATGTTTACTTTGTCCATTAAATTTCCATCTTCCATAACCTCCATTTTGTAAATTCAAATTGTTTTCGAATAATATAAAATATCCACTTGAATATTTAATTTGAAGGAAGTATCGATTAAACAAATATATTCGCTTCGGTTAGAATACACCTGGAAATTAGGTTACGCACGAGCAAACGAACGTATTTTACATTTTAAAAATACATTAAATATTTTGTTAAATTATAATAACTGTAATATTATATTAGTTTATGTTATTTATATTTTTTCTTACATTGTTAGTTTGTTAGCATACCAAATTGAAACAAGGAAATGAATTTAATAGTACAAATATTTTTTTTCCATAGCAACTGTTATGCCCTATATCTATCAAAAATCTATATTTATACTAATATATAAAATCCTTAAGTGACTGACATACTGATTAATCACGATCCTGCTCAAACTACTCAACGTAAGAAGCTCAATTTTGGCATACAGGTTGATTCTAGGGTGTAGAGGTTCGATAAGAAAGGATTTTTCGAAATTCCAGTTCCAAGGGGGTGAAACCACCCCTCAAATATTACAATATTTTTTATTTAAAAAACGGTCAAGTTTCCGAAAAAACGCTTAAACACGTATATCTTATTTTGTTTTTTTACATATTTTAAGATTTTTTAAAAATGTATACAGGGTGTTTCGAAAAATCTGATCATTGATTAATCACGATCCTGCTTAAAGCGCTTGACGTAAAAAGCTGATTTTTGGAAAACAGATTGACTTTAGGGTGTAGAGGTTCGATAAGAAGGGATTTTTCGAAACTCGAATTCTAAGGGGGTGAAACTATCCCTTAAATATTAAAATATTTTTTATTTAAAAACCGGTGAGTTTTTCGGAAAAACTCTTAAACAGGTATATTTTATTTTGTTGTTTTACACATTCTAAGATTTTTTATAAATTTATACAGGGTGTTTCATAAAATATGACCATTGAGTAATCACGATTCTGCTTAAACTGCTTGACGTTTAAAGCTGATTTTTGGAAAACAGATTGACTTTAGGGTGTAGAGGTTCTATAAGGAGGGGTTTCTCGAATCTGAAATTCCAAGAGGGTGAAAACGCCCTTCAGATATTACAATATTTGTTATTTAAAAAACGGTTAGTCTTTCGAGAAAACGCTTGGACAAGCAAAATTTATTTGGTTTTTTAACATATTTTAAAATTTTTAAAAAATCGTACAGGGTGTTCCAAAAAGTTGGGTAATTTCTTAACCACGATTCTGCTTAAACTGCTTGACGTAAAAAGCTTATTTTTGGCAAACGGATATTTCGAAACTCAAATTCCAACGAGATGAAACTACCCCTCAAATATTACCAAGTTATATAATAATATAACTTGGTAATATATACTCGGAAACGGTGCATGGAGAGACAGACAGGCACGGAGAGATGGCATCGGAAGACGTAGAACGTATATATATATATATATATATATATATATATATATATATATATATATATATATATATATATATATATATATATATATATATATATATATATATATATATATATATAATAATATCGCCATATTGTTTTTTCTCATGCTGACATAAATGTGAGAAAATTTTATCCAGTTTGTATGTTAATGGAAATTCTAGCTTTGCTTTATCATCACCATTACAAATGATTAATTCGACGCGAACGAAGTCGCTGGTACACGCTAGTAGTAGATAAAATAGTATTTTAACCGCAAGGGTAGATTAAATGAAACTTTAACAGCGAGGATAGGTTAAAAACTTTATTTCTTCTCGCACGTTTTTTAATTGCTTCCATTTTTGAAAATTTTTGAATTCCTTTTCATAAGTTATTCAGGAGTTAAATGGAAGTAGTTTGGATATGGCGTTTGTCGCCTCAGCCTGAATATCTGTTGGTAATATACTTATTTCGTTTTGAGCCATTTCTGGCTCCAATTCAACCAGCAATCGACATGAAAGTGAATTAAAAAATATTGACTCAAAACTGACAACTAAAAGAGACAGCTTTATTTATTTGTCAAATTACATAGAAACCAACGCCAACCCAACACAATATTGCTTCTATTCGTAATAAATTCCTTGAAATAATAATTTCTGAATATTTTTTAAAACGTAACTCGCTATGGAAAATAATATTGTTTTATACACGACGATAAAATTGCATTATCGTCTTCCGAAATTAATTCACTCGCGATTTCATCGCTCGTGATCTTCGGTCGAATAATATATAATTTCGGTCTGGAATCTTTTCGGTCGTGTATAAAAAATAACTAATAATTCTGTGCAATGGTATTTTAAAAAATATATTTTAAATTTAATTTTTTTAGTGTCAAAATACCCAATTTTTTGAGTAAAGGTAATTGCAAAATTTTAAGTTGCCAACTTGTTAAGTATATATACAGGGTGTTAAAAATAGTGTATCTAAAATAAGTTTGGTTTAGTTTGGTTTGCTTAAATGATTCCTAAAGAAATTACAGCACTCAAAAGGTTAAATAAAAATAATATAATTTGCTTATTTTTAAGAATACTGGTAAACCGTTTGTCTTGAAATTTGGTACTCTTGCACACATTTTATTGTCGAAGCGAATGACGATAGTGTAAAATCACGGCATATAAATCACACGGCAGGCTAACTCGCTTTGGCGGGAACGCTACGCGCATATCCTCGCGCACGCCGCCATTTGCGTTTCCATCAACAGAAAGTAACCAGTGTCGTAGTTTTTTCAGCGACAACACACAATTACGGCAGATTCGAGTCAGTAGCGTGCGGCTTAATTTATTTTGATTTTTTCTTGAGTGATATGTTTTTGGTGTTTTATTTTTGTTTATTATGTGATATATTTGGTTTTTCTAGTTCTATTTTCGTTTCTTATGTAATATAGTTGCCAATAGGTGCCCGGTGGCGTAGAGGTACAGGCTCTCGTCTACCAATCTCAAGGTAGTGGGTTCGAATCCCACAACCGGCATTTCATCAGCCGACAATTTTTATTAAAATAAAAATAGTTTGGGTACCTATGTCGACTCAGCCTTAAATGAGTACTTGGGATTCACAATCCTGAGGTAATAATAGGCGGTTGAAGCGTAGTGCTAGCCACATTACCTTCCTTTGTATACCGAACGGCTCTAGTATGGCAAGCTGTACCTTGCTACTCCCAAGGCGTCAAACGCTATATACGGGAGCTATTATTATTATTATGTAATATAATTTGTTTTTAATAATTTAAAAATCATTATATTATTCATTTAAATATAATTATAAAAATAAATAAAATGATTATATCGAAAATAAGTTAACAATACATTTTTAGGGCAAGAACATAGGCAATTGCAGCTAATAGAGAAGACTTGATTGAAGATATAAATAAGGCCCACAAGTACAGGTTGTGTTATGTTCACTTTGAATTTAAAATGTTTTCCGATTCACTTTGTAACCGTATAAAATACAATGCGGTACCTACTGTTTCCTGCCATGAAAAAAATAGAAGTTTCTCAAAAAAAATTGTGGATTTATTAATTTGTGAAATTTGAATATTAATACAATTTGCTACGCCCATTGATGGGCATAATTTGTACGTAGCCTCTTTATATTGTTCAATAAATATTTTATTGGTATTTCTTTAATTCTTGTTTGTAACTCCTGGCATGTTTTTGTTAGTTGCATGTTTTTTAATTTTAATTGTCTATTCTCTACAGTGAAATATTTAATTGATTTTTTCATTTTTACTAGTCGAGAAGTATGCGCGGTTAACGATTCATTTGTTTGGACAAAAGTATTTTAAATAAAATTCAGTTTCAGTGAATTACAGTATTTTTTAATACGACCCTGTCGTATTTTCTGAGAAATTTTTTGATACGTTTGAATCCGGCCCTGACTAGGAAACGATAATGGCGCCGACAAGGTCAAATTTTATAGAAATTTTAAACAATGGAATCTGAGTAGAGTTGGCGTGCCGATTGTTTTATGTGCCGTGGTAAAATTTTGTAACAGCCTGAAAGGGTACTTTCCATTATAGAGTAGAGACAGAGCTGCAACGTTTAAAAAAAAACAAAAGACATTTCTAAAATCAAAATTATTTAAGTCTTAAGTCTTTTACTTAAATAATTTTGTTTCAAGTCAAGTAATTTTTGTAAAGTCTTAAATCAATATAACGTTATTTAAGTCGTTTTTATGACTTAAGTCCATATTTTTGACTTAAATCATGATGATATGCATTAAGTCAGTAAAATGACTTAAATTAATATAATTACCCTCAAGTCAAGAAAACCAGAATTCAATTTAAGTACCTTTTTTAATTCTTGTTTACCAATTAGCGATTTTCTTACTAGTATCTGACTATTAATTTATTGTTTTTACAGATGAGACTAAAACCACATAAAATAAAACGGTTAATTTTCAGAACATTTACAAACGGAAAAATATGCTTTTTTATAAAATTTAACCGATTTTGTAGTACTTTTATTATACACCAATTATCCATTAAGGTTTAGATATTATCGAATACATGTCCATTGTCCATTAAAAAATAGTGATATGTTTTGATCACTACCTATGTGATATATGTCGATGGCATAAGCTAAAGGTTGGAGGATTTTAAGGTACTCTTCAATATATTCAAGATAAATTAATTTCATTCGTCTTTCGGGCTATATAACGGAGTCGGAGATTCACTTGAAAGACAACAAACTCACTACGCATGCGTAACACGACAAATAATCAAGACCGGTTCCGAAAAATTAACGTTTTATTTGCTAGTGGTATTGAGCATTGTTTTTTTTTTATTCTGCTGCTTGGCTGCCGCGTAACAGTTTGAAAACGAATTCCGCTGTTAAATAATAAAAATTTATCATAAAAATATTTATTTTATTATCACAAAAATATAACTTTTCTAAAAAGATTTAAATCACAAGTCATTTTGAAAAAGACTTAAATTTTAAGTCTCAAGTCAACTTTCAAAAAATGATTTCATTAAAATGGTTTAAGCAAAAAAAAAGACTCAAATTGTCTGTGAGCTTGCAGCTCTGGGTAGAGA